GTGGAGAAGTCGAGGGGCTATCCAGCGGTCCCCAACCTTTTTTGGCACCAGGGACCGGTTTCGTGGAAGACAATTTTTTTCACGGACCGGGAGGGGGGGTCATCATTGGGTCTTTCCCCCCACCTCAAAGAAGCTCTCCAGCGACGTTTGTGTTTTTACTCATTGTGGCTACTAGGGGTTAGAGCATGTGGGCTTACCAACACTGTGACTGAGACAAGTGCGCAGTGCGGGAAAGAGGCGCGGACGGAAGTGGTGAATAATAAAATAATGGGGGTGGGCCACGCGCGGATTCACCGCTCTCACCTCCTGCTGCTGTGCGGCCCGGGGGTTGGGGACCCCTGGGCTATACGATGGGGGGCGGGGGGGGGGCACCACGGCGGCGAGACTCCTGGACTCGTGGTGCTGAGTGTGAGAGGACGGAGCTACCACCCCGCTCCTGCAGCACGTGGGTGTGTGAGGTGGAGTGTGGGGCAGTTGACGGGCAGCCGCGAGGCTGTCAGTTGTGGCAGTTGACGGGCAGCCACGAGGCTGTCAGTTGGGGCAGTTGACGGGCAGCCGCGAGGCTGTCAGTTGGGGCAGTTGACGGGCAGCCGCGAGGCTGTCAGTTGGGGCAGTTGACGGGCAGCCGCGAGGCTGTCAGTTGGGGCAGTTGACGGGCAGCCGCGAGGCTGTCAGTTGGGGCAGTTGACGGGCAGCCGCGAGGCTGTCAGTTGGGGCAGTGTAGGGAGTAGGAGAGTAAGTTATACAAATGGGGTGAAATAGCAGTTGAGAACTGTTAAACCTGGAGAGGAAAGGGAGTGGCCTGGTTGTGAGAACTCCATAGGAGGTTACAGGATAAATAAGCACAGGACGGTAAACAACAAGTTACCGTAATAGAGGTGTTTTTGGGTTAGATCGCGTAATGCTTAAATGTGTCGTTAAAACCCGCCACCACCCGACACAGCCAACTAGTAAGGGTTGTCACGTAAACAGAACGTGGCCAATTCGTCACTAGAACAGCAACACCGCTTGTGTGTTGGAGAGCCAAGCCACAACATTTACAATCTGAGTGCGACGTTCCACCTCTTTCGTTCCTTATATAGAGGCGTCGATGTGGTGACCACGCTTCTGCGCTCTTGCGAAAAGTGGGGTGGGGGGGGATTCATGAGCCAATGTACATTACGCATGCGCATTTTGCGAGCCCTTTTTAATTTAAATTAGCCGTACCAACGGTAATCCCTATTGAGGTATGGTGGCCTGTATCGGCATGCATTTAAACGATGTATTATTTGTTACAAATTGTGAAGTAATATATTTTCTAAAATCGCGTTACCCATTGTGGGTACAACATATACACGATTGTCAGCGTCTTCTCTTAATAGTTATATTTAGCAACGTTACCGGTGCACAAACGTGAAAGCACCCCCATGGTGCTGTCTAACCCAGCGGTTTCGAGTGTGTGGGTCCGACCCTCACAGCGACGTCTTATCGGCGTAAGTGGCCCCCTCTTGAAATTAGTGAAGAACGCCGCAGTAGAGGATGGAGCGCTCGGCGTTAGCAAACCAAGCGAAAGCATAGAGCCCCAAGTATCTCAAGGGGTTCCCAGATTCATGAACATATAATATCGGTAAATTAAATGTCAGCTCAAGTTCAAGAGTGTACGTGACAAACAAAAATAACTAATTGACATAAACAGTGAATTAACCTCTTCATTTCTTTCTTGCCTGTATCTGTCATCTCTTATCGAACTACATATCTCTGCCTCTTGACTATACCTCTGTCATTTCACCACGTCTGTGTAATCTGCATCTCTCTACTCTAATCGGGTTTCATGCAAACAAATAAATACAGAATCAGGTGGGAGCCCATTTTGAGACATAAATCACATGCAAGAGAGAAAATACAGCAATACTCAGAACTGGTTGTATGTTCGTAAGTATGGATGTATGTACGTACCTTCTTTCGCACCGTACGTAGCCAACCGTGCTAATAGGAGGGTTGGGAGACTGTAGCCATTTCGCAGTGGCTACACCTCTTAGCTCAAGGCCAGATTGAGGAATACGCTAAGTTACAGCCTTGGGTCTTCACATTCAGGGGCCTTTAAATACGAAAAAAATAAGAAGTGTAAAATTTCACATCATTGGTTTCAAAGTAAAGGAGGGAAAAATAAACTCGGTTACTTTCACTCCTATGACAAAAAATATCCCAGCATTCCTCGATCTCCTGCGAAACGTCGTACAACAAAATTGTGAACATTTAGCCTTTGATTTTCCGCGTTACCTGCTGTACCAGTCGTGGGCCTCTGCCATGCTGGTCAGTGCGGTTTTTGTTGAAGGTGGGGGACCTACGATCAGATATGCCATCGCTCTCCACTGATGTAAGCCATGGACCGGAAGCAAACTCAAGCTTCTGCGGTTCATAGTGCAGTTTGCAATCCACTGCGTCACACGTACAATTCAAATCAATTGGCATATTTGCCCTCTAAGCCTCACGTTGCTTCAGGGCCCCAGCGATGTCAAAATCTGTCCCGGCCTGTTACGTGCCTTCTTATGACCTTAAACGCAGCTGATATCGCCATCTAGGCAACACGAACCACATGGTAAACCGCCTGTAGTCTGCGCTCCTTCAACGGAGTTGCAAATCTCCACACGCTCTCTCCTGAAGCCCTCTCGCCGTGGCCAGAAGACCTCGGCATTGGCACCCAGCTCCTGACCAATACTGCATTGTAATATAATAGAATGCACACAACGTGGGTTAAGCAATGACTTTCAAAATAACACACGCGCGCGCGCGCACACGTGATGCGTACATTGTTTAATGCTTCACTTCGTGTCTAAACAACAACATACAATACGTATTAAAATTTAATAGCCATGTATTGTGTGTGAGCAAAATGAACAGATGTATTGATTAGTCGGTGAAGCATTGAGGCTTTCAAGGGCTGCCCAGCCCCATCATCTCTTCGTGGTGGATAAAATGGGCACCATCCGATGAGGCCGTACCAACTGGCGGGTGGTCAAAAGTGGCGAACCTATTCGGATGGCCCCTGCCATTGGAATGTGGAGTTTCCACCGCTGGCTCAGAACTGGCAACTGAAGAGGGAGTGCCGTTTTATGCTCGTGTAGGTATTGGGGCTGCTTTCAGGCCGCATTCGTGGAGGTAACCTCTCTACAGTGTGCTTGCCGATTGTTCATTAACCAAATGGGAGACTCGTCCCTGACGAGATGCAATCGCTGCACGCATCACATTTATTTCGGCACCAAGACAGCATCACACTGCGTCCACGCCCGCCTTCTAGCACGCTCATCCACTGCGCCTCCGCTGATCACTTCTCCAACCCACCACACACCAAGTTCCTCGGCATCACTTCTCGACTCCACCTTATCCGTCGACGGCCACAACGACCAAATCATCGACGTGATCCCACTGCACGTTCACAGCAACGTTCAATCTGCACCCACTTTCAAGAGACACTTTAAAGAGTCGACCTTCTCCCCTCTCGCCTGGCTTCCGAGCGAGCCACGGTCGCTTACATAATAGAGGTTTTTTTTTGGGTTAGATCGCGTAAATATATAAATGTGTCGTTAAACCCGCCACCACCCGACACAGCCAACTAGTACGGGTTGTCACGTAAACAGAACGTGGCCAATTCGTCACGAGTACAGCACTCCGGTGGGTGTGTTGGAGAGCCAAGCCACAACATTTACAATCTGTACTCTTTGTTTTTTTTTCGGTAAAGTCACGTAGGGAAAAAATAAATAACATAAAATAAGTTAAAACAACTCAATTAAATCACGACGTTTCGGGCGCAACACAAGCGTCCTTCTCCAGGTGCGGACAACGTAGCGAAAGCACAAAAGCTTAAGTGTGTCTCAGAGATGGTTTGTGACGAGGGATTATATAGTCGCGGGGCATGGAGAGAGAGGGGGGGGCATGGTGAGTGTGGGGGGCGGCGTGTGGGCTGGGAGGTGAAGTTGGGAAGGCGAGGGTGCGCTGGGAGGCAACGACTGGAGCTGAAACTGAGGCTTTGTGATCTAGATGGCGGAAGTAGATAATAAGCCTCATGTTGTTATGCTGCCGGGTGGGTAAATTCGCAATGCGCAGGCTAACAACGTATGGAGTTCAAACTGAAATGTGCAAGCTAAAGAAAACAACTTGTGGTACACACTACCACGGCGATGGTAGTGTGTAAAACTGGGGGTAACAGACTGGGAATATAGGTATGTTGATGAAAATACATCTAAACCGGCTGTCTAGCAGTAAACTGCCCGGTAGCTAAAGTGTGATTTGGTTAATTACATTTTTCCAATGATTGCTCAATTTTAATCCATCGTCACGGATGAAGTTACGTCTATGTTTGTATATCTGGATGGCTTCATGGTCAAATCTTTGGTAGTATCCAGGAGGCTTGCAGAGCACCTTGGTATCGGAGAACACCATGTCATGAGAGCCAGCAGCATTATAACGGTGGTCGGCCACGGCCGAAGAATCGGTCCTGCCATGTTTCAGATCCAACTTGTGCTCGCGAATGCGATCAGAAATATGTCGTTTCGTTTCCCCGATGGAACAATCCCCACAGGTGCAACTCAGTTTGTAGACACCAGGGTACAGTAAGTCAGGAATGACATCCTTTACAAAATGCGGCTTAATCCTATCCTGCTTATCTACTTACGCCATCTACAACACAAATCCTCAGTTTCGACCCAAGTCGTTGCCTCCCAGCGCACCCTCGCCTTCCCAACTTCACCTCCCAGCCCACACGCCGCCCCCCACACTCACCATGCCCCCCCCCTCTCTCCATGCCCCGCGACTATATAATCCCTCGTCACAAACCATCCCTGAGACACACTTAAGGGTTTGTGCTTTCGCTACGTTGTCCACACCTGGAGAAGGACGCTTGTGTTGCGCCCGAAACGTCGTGATTTAATTTTAGTTGTTTTAACTTATTTTTTTATTTTTTTTACCTACGTGACTTTACCGAAAAAATTAAAGAGTATGAATCCTTGCAGTCACGAAAGCTTCAAATCTAGAATTTACAATCTGATCGCGACGTTTCGCCAGTAATTACAGATTCATCAGGCGACGGCCAGATGTATTATGGATGATATTGGTCGCCAAAGCCGACGTGTTAAACTCACGGTCACTTTTGTCCGCAAATTGCAAAATTGAGAATCGTTAAACGTCCATCACATGTACAATATCGCCTCACATCGGCAATTGTTGGTGAACTATTGCAGCCTCGTTGAGGAGTGATACCCTGATCGCACAACGGTTAACATGCATTTGATTATTCCACATGAAGTTATACCCATTTGACGTACACTCGTTATAGACTTAGGCACACAAAAACAGCGAGAAACCTCCGATTAGCACCGTTTGGCTACGGACGGTTGCGCGAGAGAAGTTCAACTATACTATATACGTACGGCACTTTGAGGCATGCCTTGCTATGCGGGCACGGCTGTTGACGTGCCTTGCTATGCGGGCACGGCTGTTGAACGTGCCTTGCTATGCGGGCACAGCTGTTGACGTGCCTTGCTATGCGGGCACAGCTGTTGACGTGCCTTGCTATGTGGGCACAGCTGTTGAACGTGCCTTGCTATGTGGGCACAGCTGTTGAACGTGCCTTGCTATGCGGGCACAGCTGTTGAACGTGCCTTGCTATGCGGGCACAGCTGTTGACGTGCCTTGCTATGCGGGCACAGCTGTTGACGTGCCTTGCTATGTGGGCACAGCTGTTGAACGTGCCTTGCTATGTGGGCACAGCTGTTGAACGTGCCTTGCTATGCGGGCACAGCTGTTGAACGTGCCTTGCTATGCGGGCACGGCTGTTGGCGTGCCTTGCTATGTGGGCACAGCTGTTTGTGGGAGAGCCTCCAGTAGAGGGCGCGCTAGAGAAGTTTTTTTTGGTTCACCGAGAGAGCTCTCAAGGAATGGAGCCGCTCTGAACCCGGGGTGCATGCACCCAGCTAGGGGGGGTACGAGGTGCCCTCTCTGGGGGTGCGAGACATGGGCCAGATTTGGTTTCGGGGAGGTAAATAATCGAAGCACACGCATTAAGCACGGACACGTAAGTACACCTACATCTTCTTGGTTCTTTCGGTAAAGTCACGTAGAAGGGAAACGTGACTTTACCGAAAGAACCAAGTATATGAATCCCTGCAGTCACGAAAGCTTTGAATCAAAATTTTACAACTACATCGTTTCATTAAGCCTCCGTACCTATTAACTTTATATAGATATGTTTTTTTTTTAACGATTGGAAACCAAAGGGGTGCAAGGCCGCAGTGAATGTTGACTGCTCTCAAGGTAACGTGTTTTTAAGGGATTGATAAAAGGATACAAACTCCGCCAATGGATACAATTCTATATGTGACATCGCTCTTAATCCTCGTACGGGAGTTTCAATGGCTTTCCTTATTTATACAAATAAACCCGAGGAAAGCCACGTATTTCTTTATATGATTCGTATAAATAAATACATTGCTTTCCTAGGATTTAATTGACAAAGAAACGAGTGATATGAGAGGTTCATTAGGACGAGGAGCTCACGTATTGCGCCGTTGGCTGTCCGTGCACATACATCACGATTGGGCCGTTTGCGTCATGACACGAGACGGAGGAATTCCCTTTCGAGACGCTCACAGCAATGCACGTAACAATGGCACGTCTTATCAATCATGGTACGTTCTGCATGCAGTTTTCATAACGCGAATTGGACAAAACGCGATTGATGTATTAGGGAACGTTTTTCTTTTCATAACGCGGATACAAATTGTATATAACTTGATCGAGCGAACGTAGCTACGTCGCGCGAGTAGGAATAAGCGGTCGTACGGCTGCCTCGGCGTAGCATCGCACAACAAGGCACTGGGATGCCGCTGGATGCTTCTAGATGCTACCCACGCGCCTCCGTCTTTGTTCAGCCTGCGTACGCATGCCGCGTGTTATCGCGGACTGTGCCTTACCAAATGGTTATGATAACCCAGTTTGTTTCCATTACGCGGTGTTCTTCAGGAACGCAACTACCGCGTTACAGGGTTACAGACTGCACGTTTTGTTATTCGTGCCACCTGTATCACGAACGCGCCCACGCCGAACAGACGAGTATCGTCTGCAGGAGTGGATTCACCCAGTTCAGGCGTGCCGCGAGTGATTTCGGTCTCGTCGCCTTTGCGTAACGTCGCGGGGATCTTCCCAAGCCCTCCGCGCAGCGGTCTGTGCGCATCTACAACGGTGTAGACAACGTACGCTTGTCGTCATGCCTTACAGGGTCGGGGCCGTTCTCCGGCTCGCCGTTGTGGGACAGCGAGGCGGAGCCGTGGCGCGAGGCCGTGCTTCGTGGCCGCTCGTGTCTTTTCATCGTTGTTGAAAGAGTTTCATTGTTCAACGGCCACCCCGAGTGCGGTCGTCTTCGACCGCACCCGCCGTGCGGGTGCCGAATACAGTAAACGGACCGCAATGGTCAACGCAACGCGCGGCTGTATTAACCAGGGTGGCCCGCCGGGCTCGAACGGGGAAACCTCGGCGACGAGCGGCGAAAGGGCCGCACGACCGCTCGGCCACGTCGCCGAGGTGCTTCCAAAGGCGTCCTACCGCACACGAGAGAGACGTCAACGCGCGCCGACGTGAGGTGTTCGACGCGCAATTGTGGAGCCAACATTTCCGTCCCTTTTGAACACGCAGAATTTCGCGACCAATATCTGGCGCAATGGAGGTTTTTTTTCGTCTTCGGGTTGGATCGCAGAAAATGTAGTCGGTTGGGGTCGAGAGGTGGCGCTGGCAGGGCGCGGGCCCTGCCAGCGCCCGCTCACGCCACTGCTAGCGGAAGGGCCTTTCCGCAAGAAGGCGCTTTAGAGAGAGAACCCCTCGAGAAGGTGTTTTTGCCTACTCTTCCAAAAGGCCAGATGTCCTGGAATAGTCGAAAGCACCCCCCCCCCCCCACCCCTCCCCACTTTACCACGCCATGCGTGTAACTTGTCGATCGACTGTGAGCTGGATTTGTGGAGCTAAGCGCTTTTAAATCTTGATTGAAAACTCATTTCTCTAGAACTGCTTTTCGTGTTTAGTTTTGCCGTCCCTTCCTCCGCGCCTCCGATTGATGCGGTCGCCTACGTACGGTGCGGAAGAAGTTTGAAGACACATGCGTACGCGCATGCATTACATTACGGACACATCTCTTTTGTTTTGCTCATGTTAAAACGGCGGGCCACCGAAACCTGCACGCTCGATCCCCCCGGCCTCTCAGCGGTGCCCGGGCCGGAGTCCCCCCGCGACAGCGCGACGGCGTCGCTCGATCGGCAGCCCCAGCTACCCTCTTTTTTATTTCTTTCAAAATCCGAATTTTTTTCCCTGCATTGTTTCTTTTTATCATAGACAGCAACGTAAGCCCGTAAACAACAATGCTGCTGCTGCTGCTGGGGCGACAAATAAACACACACACACACACAAGCCGGGCAAAGACATCCACGGAGGCATACAGACCCGACGCGATCGATCCCATTTGTCGGGGGGGGTGATAGTCAACCCGGGGGGGGGGGGGCTTAAGAGTCTATCGCCCCACTCACGTAGGGGCCGGTACAACGAACATTTTTTTTAATGGGGGGGGGTGGGAGGAGGAGGAGGGGTGTGGATAGGGCGGCAGCTACTTCTTGATGGCGGCGATGACCGAGTCCCAGCGGCTGCGGCGCGTGCTGAGCAGGCGGCGCTTGGCCAGGGAGTAGGAGGGGACGTCGTCGCCCTCGTCGCGCTCCGCCTCCGACACGATCTCCATCTTCTGCACGACGAGCTTGAGCAGCTCTTGCTGCCGCTGCAGAGCCTGCGAGATGTCCTTGAGCCTGTGGCGACGCCGACGCACGGCGCGCGAGGCGTTGACGTCATCGACCCGTCGCCGTCGGCGGTTTCAGCGGCTCGTGGGGATGGTGTCGAATGAGCGACGCTGAACCGCTGACACTGGTTCTTTGCAAAGCGATTTTCGTGAAACTCTTTTTACGTTTATGTTTTGCTGGTTCCATTGTTTTTGTTTTGATGTTCACGTCGCGTTGCCCCCCCCCACCCCCCTTTTTTTTTGTCGCACCCAAACATTTCTGTGCCGCGCGTAAATTCCACGCCGGTCTCTTTTGCGAGAGGCTTCCGTGTCCATGGGCTCTCACGTGGAGACATAATGGTCAAGCACATGCGTCTATTTGTGTGCACGCGGATAAAACATCTATTCATTTTGCTCATGTATTTATTTAGATGAGGAATGCTTTCCACGAGCGTCCCAGTAATGGGGATTTAATACGTATGACAGCAGAAATAATGAATAGCTATGAGATGCACATGCTCCCGTGTGCAACTCACACATGTATAATCCTTACCTATGCAACTCTCACTTGTAGAATGCTCCCACGTGCGTCTCACACCTGCATAATCTTTACCTAAGTAACTCTCTCATCTGTACAATGTTCCCACGTGTCCCTCTCACCTACGAAGCCCTCGGGTGTACAATCTCAGGTGTACGTCTAAACACGCCACACACCTGTATTTCTGCTTCTGCATCTCCATCTCCAGCTGCTGGTAGGGGACGTTCTCATTCCCTGGCACGTCCATGTTGCGGTTGCCAAACGAGAAGATGCTCTGTGGGAGGCACGGGTGATGCGAGTCTCAACCCTAGCGTGGCATGTGCAGCTGCAGATAGAGCAAGGTCAAGGGTCAAACCCCACCGGCCTCCGGCTCAGAGGCGTCGGAAACATTGATGCAAGAGAATGCTGTCTGCACTGTACGTTGAACTTCCTTTCACGCCGTACCTAGCCAACTGTGCTAATCGGAGGTGCGTGGGAAGGACAACAAACTAAACACAAAAATGCGTTCTAAAGAAATTAGTTTTAAATCCAAATGATTTTAAAGTGCATAGCTCCAGCGGCTTCTTAATATCAGAAGGAAGAGCGTTCCAGACGGCCGTAGAAGCGCATGTGAAAGCGCGCGATGCGGTGACCACCGTCTTTGTTCGATGGCCCAGTCAGAAGCCGCTGCTGCTGCGAGGATGACCGGAGATCGCGTTAAGTTTTATGCTCTTTGAAGAGATCAGCAGCATATTGTGATTCGTTTGTGGCAAGCACTTTGTGTGTAACGAGTGCGACCTCATAATGTATTCGTTCGGCAACCGGAAGCCAACGCAAGTTCGGCGACCACCGGACGGACCACGGTAGGACCTGAAAAATCCTGCGTGTACTTTTGAGTGAGACGCCGACATTCACGAGCCTCTTGCCAGTCAAGAAAGATGAAAGCCAGAGACTGGCCGAGAAGCGGGATGCACGGCGGTGCAATAGCCTCACAAAGACAACTCTTCCCATAATGCAATGCGCAAGCAAGATTTAATAATTTGACTTTTACTATCATCGAGTTAATTAAGGGGTAATACTCTTTGATTATTGAAACGCGTGTTACTCAACGGCTACCACACTGGAACTATTCATATGCCAATTAAAAAAAAACTGTTAATCAGGAAACATCTTTATCGGGGTCCCATGGCGTACAGTGCAGTCTCCAACTCTTATAATCCATTCCATCTCTCTAGCATCTGTAGTCACGTGCTGCGCAGAAGAGCCACTGCCCAAAACGCCCCCTCTCACAAATGTTACCTGCTCATGCCACAAAGTGCGATTGGCGAACGCGCCTGTGCCGGCATGCTCCCACGCAAGCGAGCGCGCACGGTAGTGCAGCGGCTTAGCGCGTTGGCGCTACGGACCCAGAGACACGAGTTCGATTCCCGCTCGCGGCCAACACCAGTGACGATGATTTTAAGCTGGTCCGGGGCCTCCCCTACGTCGACTCAGCCTCAATTGGTGTGATGTTCAAAACCATTGCCGCTAGGGAGACGAAGGCGGCCGGGCGCGGTTGCTGGCCACACACCCCCTCGTGTGACATTCCGGCATTCATAGGTGCTCGCTAGCAGCGCTTGCCCCAACAGTCTGTTAAGGCGGCTACATGGCGGGGGGCGAGGGGACCTTTATGCGTGTGCATGCGCGTGCGTACGTACAACCAGCATGGATCTGCGACACTTGTTGGGGTAGACGGTGATGGACACCTGGTCCACGCACTGCAGCAGCCACGACGGCAGCTTCTTCTCCAGCTCCGTGTGCAGCTCCACCTGCCCAGCGAGGGGGTCAAGCACGGGGAGGTGGGGGGGGAGTGGGCGGGGGGGGGGGGGTCAAACGACCCGCAGCCTCGTCGACGAAAATCGACTCTCAGGCGTGCACTACGCGCATCGAATTTTGTCCGAAGGATGATCAACGCGACGAATGACGTTGGGGCAATCTTCTCCTCTTCTCGTCCGACCACCAAAGTGAAATGTTCTTCCGGTGGCCGAGTGCTGCCTCAGCAGTGGGCAGAGCAAGAGCTGCCGCATGGTCGGCCTCAGTCGCAGCAGCTGTTTGGTTTTTGCCATTTGGGGCAGGTTGGATCTGGGCCTGCCGACTTGGGTGCGACAGTCGGTTCAGAGTTTTCCATGCGTAGTAATCAAGTACGAGACTTGACAATTTACTTTACCAGGTGAGGCCCACTGAGCTATGAAGCTTATTGTTCAGAAGCGACCTGGCCACAGCTCATAGCCCAACGAAGTGGCTCATAATCACATGGAGATTCATACCAGCAAAATACACCGATGTTTCTAAATGGGGAGGGAAAACCGGAGAGCCCAGATAAAACATCAACATGAGCACGCTTAGAGTATTTGGTTGCTGGAAATTTCCACGTGATAAGCAACTTCGTTGAGCCATCATTTGCGACTAGGACGCTTCTGAAACAGAGATATACAGCTCAGGGGTAAAATTTAAACGGTAATATAAATAGTAAAATGCGTGTCGTAAGCCCTCCTCCACCCGACAGAGTGAGATTGCTCTCCAACACCACACCCAGTGGTGCTGCCGCAGCAATCGTATATTAGCCTCGTTGGTTCACGTGGCAAGTTAAAGAATTGACCGTGTCGGTTGGAGGAGGGTTTCACGACACACATTTTAGTTCTGACGTAATCTGACGCAAAAAAAATCAATCACGAATCATAATGTTTAACTACTTTCGCACCGCACATGAGCCAACCGTGCTAACATCGATCGCGAAAGACTGCGCGTTAAATTTCGTCAACGCATGTTTTGCGATGAATACACGACCGAAGCATTAACCGGGGCGGCTGCCGGATTCGAACCGCGAGCCTCTGTAACAGGCGATGCGCGCACTACCGCTGGGCCGCGTCACCGCCCCCCAGGATCTTATTTGGACCTCGGTGTGACGCGATTAGATAGAGCCCCCGTGTGTGTGCGTGCGTGTGTCCTCACCTGCATGGCGATTCTCTTCAGGCACGCGTTACGCTGGACCTCTGCTATGTCACCGACCGCCAGACCAATCTGGCCACGGCAACAACAAAAAAAAACACATAAGTGCGTTTAACCGTAAGGCAGGCGAAGGTCGCCAACGCTTTGGCTTGCAGAGCCGCTAATCTGCAAAAAAAACCCCCAATCTACTACAATACACCATTCCATAATTCTTTCTAAATCAATATAATTTTAACACAGTCGGACCCCTATTGACCTGTGGCCAAATGTCGGTTCGATATCAGGAACTGAGCATCGTGCTCAGATGGGCGACTGCCGTGCACCAATGCGCCACAGGCTGCTTGGAGGCAGCCGGGGGCAGTGCCAGACAAACCCTCTTCCACCGCGCTTCTATGCCACCCCCAGCTCAGCCACACGCACACTGACCAGCGCGGGGGATAACGTGTGGCCAAACAACTCGCACGACCTGCACGGCTGCAACATTTGACAAAGGGCCGACTCTCACCATGAGGTTCATGAGCAGGATGGGCATGAGAATGAGAAAAACGACGAGCATCACGCAGGTGAGCTCGGGGAAGGGCAGCTGCTGGTTTATGAACGGCGTCAGGAAGTTGTCCGTGTACTGCATTTCTCCCAGCATCATGACGAACGCTTGCATCAGGGACACGGAGACTGTGTTGAACGCCACCTGTGCATGCGCACGCACGCATAGACACGACATCTTTCGTGAGAGTGTGTGTGTGTGAGAGTGGGCGTGTGGGGGAGGCTCGTGTGATGGAAGCTACTGGGCAGTCGGAGGCAGTCGCCTGCCAACGACAACGGAGGGCCGAGGAGCGACACGCAGAACAACGAGCGGCGCACCGGGCGGCTAAAACACAGCAAGTTGGCATACTCTTTGGTTCTTTCGGTAAAGTCACGTAGGTATAAAACAAAATAACTACGTGACTTTACCGAAAGAACCAATGAGTATGGATTTCTGCAGTGACGAAAGCTTCAAATCCATGTTGGCATAGTAGGGGGCGAAGGTGGTGCATGGGCCAATCTTCTCAGTCATTCAACCAATGGCACTTGGGTCTGTCCCGTGACCTCCTGTCAGTGAGCCTTCGACACTTCACGTGGCCTTAAAGCGCACATAGCCTGGCACAGTCGCAGTGGCGACGTCACTGCCACTTAGCGGCGAATGGCGGTTGTTGTTGTTGTTGTTTGTGCTGGCGACCCACCCTCTCGTGTGCTGTTCCGGCCTTGATAGACGCTGCTGCTACTGGCTAACAGGACTTGCCCCAAAAGCCTGTTGAGGTTACATGGGGGAATCTTTCTATTTGTCTTTGTGTTTGAGCGCGTGTGTGTGATAGTGTGGGGAGTGGTTCGTGGTTAGTATACTGCGCCACGAACTCATTGGCCTGACTGTAATTCCAACTCACGGCCAACACCAGTGACGATTATCTGAACCAGTGCTGAGCTTCCCCTAGGTAGACTCAGCCGTAAGTTAGTACCTGGTTCCGTGTGTAAATATCAGCACGGAGGAGACAAAGGCAGCCGAACGTGGTGTTGGTCACCCAGCATCGTTGTTTTAAAAGACGTTGCACCGCGCTGTACGATAGCTGGCGCCAAACTGTGCCACGCGCTATTCCGCATGGCCTCGTGACAGCCTCGGTTCCGATGAAGTTACTTTCATTTTTTTATTTTCTCGGGGGGCTCTGCTCCGATAACGTACACGTACGTTCTGTTGTGTAAATATACGTCATTGGAACGGGAAAGGCTTAAGAGCTATGCTGTGGTGGGGGGGGGGGGGGGGGATCGTTGCGAGCTTGCGAGGATGCGAGACGGCCGCGGGCTGCCTCGCCTGGCGACTCATGAGCACGTAGAAGGAGAGGCCGAAGGCGAGCAGCAGGAAGAAGAAGATGGTGACGATGTGGCAGAGCGTGCGCAGGATCTCCAGCAGCATCACCACGTAGATGCCGGCGAACTCGAACCTGCGGGCGCGACCACAGCGGCACGAGTGGCGGCGGTTTACGCGCGGGGCCGCCGGCTCACGGGGCCGGCCGGGGGGGCTAGGAGGCCGAGAGGCGAGGGCTCGTTAGGGCGGGGGGTGGGGGTGGTGGTAAAACGTCGGCCCGAAAGACCGAGACGGACGCCATCGACGCGAGACCCTGCCGTGCACGCTGGATCGGAAGACGCTCCGGGAAGTTGGGCGCACGCCAAACTCGTGCCCGGTGCGAGTGAAGGTTCCGCTAATCTGGCCCCGAGCGTACGCTCGCCAGCGCGCGGCCACCTTCTGGATCACTAAACGCATCCGCCGCTGACTTTTAACGTTTCGAATAGGGTGGCGAAAAAAGCGCGCCGTTATAATCCAGGGAATACGGGACCTCCCGAACTGCTGAGCTGCGCACTTGTGAATCTAGATTGAAAACTCATTTCTTTAGAACTGCTCTTTCGTTTTCAGTTTGTTGTCCTTCCCCCGCGCCTCCGATTAGCGCGGTGGGCGAGGCGCGGTGCGAAAGAAGTTCAACATGCTGTCCTATGACCATTTGAACTTGGCGTTAGACGAAGGGGCTCACGGCGTTCTCTGCTCGTGAATGCTGCAGCTCTCAAACCCCTTTTTCGGATTTCCCCCGCTCTCCGTTTGAGACTCAGAACCGGAAGCTTTTGTTTGATACCGGAGGAATCCTACAAAGCTCTTTTCCACAGATGGCCAGTAGGGACCACCGGGTCAGAACGTTACAACATCAACAAAGGGGCCGTCCATAAATGACGTCACGCGATTTTGGACGATTTTTGACAACCCACCTCCCCCTCGTCACACGGCGTCACAAAAAGTCAGACCCCCCCCTTAAATGTGACGTCACAAGCTCTGCCCCCCCCCCCACCCAAAAAAATAAAACATGCTTCAAATCTCTTTAAACTATTGTCATTGTAGCGCGTATTTAATGTGGCGCTGCACTCTGATGTTGTAGGAGAATACGTTTATTAGAAAGTCTATTTAATTAAGTAGAACGCGTTGTCTATATTTATTTAAAGTTGCGCATTTTGATGTGACGTCACATTTCTCAAACCCCCCCCCCCTCGTCACACATCGTCACAAATTCCTGACCCCCACCCCCCCCCCAGGTGCGTGACGTCATTTATGAACGGCCCCAAACAATACAAACACAGGGTTTGCGTGCGGGCGAAGGCGGCGTGGCATGGGCAGAGGTGATGGTGGTGGTGGTCTGGTGCGCTGGCTACCGTCGGAAGTAGAGGAGGAAGTTGACCCAGGCGAGGAACACGGCCACGGCCCCCGCCGACCAGGTCCACGCCTCCGCGTTGCCCGTCATCATGGGCACGACGAACACGACGCAGGAGCTGTACAGCACCCACTCCAGCAGGTTCGTGAGCTCCACAAAGTACTTGCCCGCCTGCGCCGACGTCACATTCCCGGTGCCGGCACGGCGATCGCGTCCGAGAGGAAATACGGAGAGCAGAGAGGGGGGGGGGGGTGGGGGGGTGGGGCGGAGAGGGCTCGGCGGGGTTCTCCTGCATTGGGTAGTTGCAAGCGAGAGCTAAGGGGGCCGTCCATAAATGACGTCACGCGATTTTGGACGATTTTTTGAAACCCGCCCACCCCACCTCGTCACACGGCTTCACAAAAAGTCAGAGCGCCCCCTCGAATATGACGTCACGAAGCTCTTCCCCCTCCTCCCCCCCCCCCCCTTAAAACCATATTTCCATTTTGAAACATAAAACATGCTTCAAATCGCTTTAAACTATTGTCATTGTAGGGCGTATTTAATGTGCCGCTGCACTCTGATGTTGTAATTAAGTAGAACGTGTTGTCTATATTTATTTAAAGTTGCGCATTTTGATGTGACGTCACATTTCTCAAACTCCCCCATCTCCCTCGTCACACATCGTCACAAATGTCTGACCCCCCCCTCCCCCCAGGTGCGTGACGTCATTTATGGACGGTCCCCCCCCGCCCTCCCCAGTAAGCACGGCACGTTGGGTCTACGTCGGGCCAACGTTGGCCCAACGTTGGCCCAACGGCGTAGAGGTCGTACTCACTAGAAGCAAAGTCACCCGCAGCAAATGAACCTTGCCGATGTCGTCAAGGACCGTCAACCATCACGCGGTCTCCGCTAATCCTCGCAGCAGCGGGTTCTGGCTACGGCTATCAAACAAAGGCGGCAGTCACCGCATGGCGCGCTTTCAGATGCCGCTTCTAAGGCCCTGTGGAACGCCCTTCCGTCCGATATTAGGAAGCCACTGGAGCTATTCATATTTAAATCTAGATTTCATGTTCATTTATTTGGAACTGCTTTTCGTGTTCAGTTTGTTGTCCTTCCCCCCGCGCCTCCAATTAGCACGGTTGGCTAGGTACGGTGCGAAAGAAAGTCAACCTCAAAAATTCCCCTGCTATAGCCCGTAATCGAGCACCTGTGAAGGCTGGCACGGCACACGAAGGTGTGGGTGGCCAACACCAAGCCCGGCCGCCTTTGTCTCCCTAGTGGCGATGTTCACACACCGCACCAGGTACTCATTTGAGGCTGAGTCGACCTAGGGGAGGCCCAGGAACGGTTCAGATAATCGCCACCGGGTGTTGGCCGTGAGCGGCAATCGAACTCAGGTCGCCGGGTTTATAGCGCAGCGTGGCGCTAACCGCTACAACATACACATTTCGATGGGGGGGTTGGGGGGGGGTTCATCTGTTGTGGCACGGAAGTCTCACCAGCTGCACAATTTGTATGATCTCCTTGATCATGCCCAGCACGGATGTGCACAGCACCATGGTCATGGCGGTGAGGTTCATCTTGTTTCTCTGAAACGTCTTGAATGGCTGGAGTGGGGCGAGAAGGGACGGAGGTACGTGCAGTCTCAGTGTGACAGAAACGACGCAAACACACGGGGAGACGGCGGAGAGACACAGAAACGTAGACCCTGCGGAGACACGGAACCAATAGACACTGATACACACAGGGAGACAATGGGGGAGACAACCACACAGGGAGACACTGCAGAGACACACTGAGACACTGATACACACGGGGAGACACTGCAGAGACACACTGAGACACTGATACACACGGGGAGACACTGCAGAGACACACTGAGACACTGATACACACAGGGAGACACTGCAGAGACACACTGAGACACTGATACACACGGGGAGACACTGCAGAGACACACTGAGACACTGATACACACGGGGAGACACTGCAGAGACACACTGAGACACTGATACACACGGGGAGACACTGCAGAGACACACTGAGACACTGATACACACAGGGAGACACTGGGGAGACACTGATACACAGGGAGACACTGCGGAGAAAATGATACACACAGGGAGACACTGCAGAGACACACCGAGACACTGATACACACAGGGAGACACTGCAGAGACACACTGAGACACTGATACACACGGGGAGACACTGCAGAAACACACTGAGACACTGATACACACAGGGAGACACTGCGGAGACACACTGAGACACTGATACACACAGGGAGACACTACAGAGACACACTGACACTGATACACACAGGGAGACACTACAGAGACACACTGAGACACTGATACACACAGGGAAACTGCAGAGACATACTGAGACACTGATACACAGGGATACGCTGCAGAGACACACTGAGACACTGATACACACAGGGAGACACCGGAGAGACACACTGAGACACTGATACACAGGGAGACACTACAGAGACACACTGAGACACTGATACACAAGGAGACCCTGCAGATACACACTGAGACACTGATACACAGGGAGACACTGTGGAGACACACTGAGACACTGATACACAGGGAGACACTGCAGAGACACACTGAGACACTGATACACACAAGGAGACACTGGGGAGACACACTGAGACACTGATACACACAGGGAGACACTGGGGAGACACTGAGACACTAATACACACAGAGAGACACGGCAGAGACACACTGAGACACTGATACACACAGGGAGACACTGCAGAGACACACTGAGACACTATTACACACAGAGAGACACGGCAGAGACACACTGAGACACTGATACACAGGGAGACACTGCAGAGACACACTGAGACACTGATACACACAGGGAGACACTGGGGAGACAACCACACAGGGAGACACTGATACACACAGGGAGACACCGAGAGACAACCACACAGTGTGTGTGTGATCACTAGTAAATATGCACGCTTGCTGAAGGGCTGGGGGGGGGGCGATGGCTTCCTTGGGGACTGAGAGGATGGAAAGAAAACGGCGATGCCAAACGATGCTCAGCAAGGATGAGGTACGGGATGAAGACAGCGGTCGGAAGGCAGAGCGACACGGAGGAACGAACTGCGCCTCGGACCCTTCTCCAGACGGAACCACGAATTAATGAGTGAATGAGTGAGTGAACGAATGATGAATGAATGAGTGAGTGAATGAATGAGTGAATGAATGAGTGAGTGAGTGAATGAATGAGTGAATGAATGAGTGAACGAATGTGTTAATGAATGAGTGAATGAATGAATAAGTGAGTGAATGAGTGAGTGAGTGAATTGAGTGAATGACTGAGCGAGCGAGGTGAGGTGAAGCGAAGACCATGTTGTAATCGACGGCACTCGTGTTGCCGTGCCCGCCGGTGGTTCCGTTGTGCTGGTCGTGACCGTGGTGCATGTCGGCTGTGGAGGAGGCCACAAGGTAGGTGAGCGGCACGAGACCCAGCATGTACACCAACAGATTCAGCGAGTAGATCTTCATGCCGTACGAGAGCCTGGGCAGGAAAGACAGAGACCCATAAACCCCCCGTTGTAGCGTGAACGCACCGCTTAGGGAGAGTGCTATTAGCGAGTAGGGGCCGTACATAAATGACGTCACACACCTGGGAGGGGAGGGGGGGGTCAGACATTTGTGACGATGTGTGACGAGAGGGGGGGGGGGTGAGAAATGTGACGTCACATCAAAATGCGCAACTTTATAAATAAATATAGACAAACACGTTCTACTTAATTAATTAAGACTTTATAATAAATGTGTTCTCCTACAACATCAGAGTGCAGCGCCACATTAAATACGCACTACAATGACAATAGTTTAAAGCGATTTGAAGCATGTTGTAATTTCAAAATGTAAATATGGTTTATGGGTGGTGGGGGGGGCATAATTCAGGTGACCACCACTGCACCACTTACTCCGGCAGGCACGCGCACACGCGCAAGCTGTCGCACTCAACTAACATGAGAACTGACCGAAGGGGTCACGATAGAGCTCAGTTACATAGTCTTTTAGCCGGCAAGCCTACGATGAATTATTTCATGACACCGGCAATATGTGCCACGCGATCAATGCGACCTTAATTGTAAAGTGGAGGCAACTCGTGACTTCAATACGTGGGATTGGTGGCAGCCTTGGGTCTCCAACCATCACGGAATGTTTACCAGGGGGCGGGCAGCGTTACTTAATCTCGGGCACAAGTAAAAAAAAATAAGCCCACTGCGGTCCTCTGTGCCTGTACGGCTGTAGACGACCCAGGTCCAAGGACCTCAACGTGCCGTCAGGTTTCTCTCTCGTGGTGCGAAGACTTTTTATTTTTAATTCGTGACTCGTAAGACGAAACCGTTCACACGTCACCCCAGGCGTAAATGCGGTTGTGAGCCCGGGTCTTCCCAGGGGAGACAGGCAGAGAGAGCGAGAGAGGCGCGGGGAGAGAGAGAGAAAGGAAATCGTTTGGGTGTTCACACCATTTCATCTTGAGGAACTGCTCGCAGACGGGGTGAGTGAGGAGGTTGACGCGATTGAACCTCACCATGGCCTGCGGCGACAGCACGCGTGTGTTAATTATACAGCCACGGCACGTGGGGCAGTGTTGTCGCAGTGGAGACACGCGGGGGCGGGGGGCGCGGGCTACAGGACGTCCGCTCTCTAAATATTTATTCTGGAGAGCCACGCTGTGTAGTACTACTCTTTTTCAGGAGGGTCCTTCATTGGGTTTTTATTTTAAGATGTTTTCAGCCGATCGATGATGAGCGTTTATACAAGCAGGAGGAAACCGGAGCGCCCAGAGAAAACGCACGCATTGCGCGAGGGGGCAACGCTCTATCCCCATGCGAATGGTAACGGACGGCGATTATGTATGTGTTTGCGTCGAACTTTTTTTGCGCGCCGTGCATAGCCAACCACGCTAACTGGAGGCACAATGATTAGTCAGCATGCCGTAGCGCCTTCTCCTGGTGGGCCAGAGTATGGCACCTCGAGCCGCGCGAGGAGGGAGTTTTCACAACATCCGCCAACCCTCGCCTCCACGGTGCTGGATTACAGGCGTGCATAGCCACCACCGCCCATCCTAATATGTAGAGGAGCGCAGAGCTTTCGTCGTGCTTGTCTGTGGTTCATCATCACTTCTCCGAGCGAGCGAGCACCGCGCGGTTGCGGTGCGCCACAGCGTCGCGAGATGCAATCGACACGAATGACGCGATATCAAACTGCTTTGCAACCGTTATTATTAAGCCTAAATTATTATTGATTCACGTCGCTAGAGAACGCCCGCCGCTACCGAAGAATAACAGCAACAACGAACCGCACACGTGACCGAGAAACAAACACAACTTACTCTTTGGTTCTATTCGGTGAAGTCACGTAGGTAAAAAAATAAAACAACAAAAATCACGACGTTTCGGCCACAACACAAGCGGCCTTCATCAGGTGAAGGGATCAGACTGTCTCGAGGACAGCGCTGGAGTGAAACACAGCCAAGCTCAGACCGCGACCTTTAAGCTTGTGTCAGAGGAATTAAGGTGCCTTGACAAAGGAATTAGCATAAACAAATTAGCATTTAAGGTGCCTTGACAAAGGAATTATGCTAATTCCTTTGTCAAGGCACCTTAATTCCTCTCACACAGCTTAAAAGCCGTGGTCTGAGCTTGGCTGTGTTCACTCCAGCGCTGTCCTCGAGACAGTCTGGTCCCTTCACCTGATGAAGGCCACTTGTGTTGTGGCTGAAACGTCGTGATTTTTGTTGTTTTATTTTTTACCTACGTGACTTTACCGAATAGAACCAAAGAGTATGGATCCTTGCAGTCACGAAAGCTTCAAATCTAGAAACACAACTTACATTCATGGAGAAGAGTGGCTCGTACAGGTTTTTCCCATTTTCCGCTTTAAGGGTGTCGCGTTTGTTGATGGGGCACTGCAGTAAATGGAAGTTGTAGGTTTGCTGCAACGAAAGAGAAGTTGCACGATCGCGTTAATGCACAGTGGAAGGCACCAGCCTCTGTCTCCATGTCACCCGTTATCTTATTGTCCTTTAATATTCGCGAAGTTCATTACGCCACGAGGAAAAGATGTACGTCTGCAGACTCAACCACTCAGCAGTGTAGTGGGTTGAAGTGTGGGTACTCCCACCCACCTCTTCCAAGACGTCTGGGCCAGCATGAAAGAGTAGCCCCATGTTGTTGTTTGACTTGCATCCCACTGGGATTTTTTTGCACACAGCGTTGGTGAATATTTTTGCTGTTTTTTTTTCCCATGGATTTTCTGTTTTGCACAGTCACACATAGTCACTTTAAGAAGTTTTTCTTGTTCGTAATTTTGTTTTTTTGTTTGTTGTGGTTGTACCCGATTCAAGAGCCCGATGGCTCACAGGGCTATACCAAAATAAACTGAAACTGAAACGACCCTCTAGAGGGGCTCTCTGAATCTACTCTCTAGTGGAGGCCCTTGGTCTAAGCGAATAATTGCAGGGCTGCACCACAGCCTTTAACAAACTGCTTGGGCAAGTGCTGTTAGCGAGCACCTATGAAGGCCGGCACGGCACACGAGGGGGTGGGTGGCCAACACCACGCCCGGCCGCCTTTGTCTCCCCAATGGCGATGTTCACACAGCTGACATGGGAATTCATTTGAGGTTGAGTCGACCGAGGGGAGACCCAGGACCGGTTCAGACAATCGTCACTGGTGTTGGCCGTGAGCGGGAATTGAACTCGGGTCGTCAGGTTTGTAGCGCAGCGCGCTAACCGCTACACTACCGCTCCCCACCATGCACACATACCAAGGCCGTAGCCATGGAGTCAACATTGGGGGGGGACCAAATCTTCCAGAGGGTCTGGGCGCCACCCCCCAGAAAAAAATATCTAAATGTGGAAACGAATTTCCTGCCTAAAATGAAAAAAAATTCACAAACACATAGGGTGGATTTTTTTTTTACAATAATGTCTAATAGTGTATTGTATTACATTGCTCTGTTTTTTTTACCTTTCCTTGTTTCATTGTATGTAATGGCAGAGATTAGGGATTAATAAAGTACAACCATAACCACAATCATATGAACAGAAATCTATTTTATAGCATTATATTGGGGGGGGGGCATATTGAAGGGGGGCGATGTCCCCCCCCCCTAATATATATTATAATTACGGCCTTGACACACACACACACATGCACACACACTGACACACACACACATGCGCACATTCACGCACGTGTGGGGGAGTGCAACATCATTACCCAGTATTCCTTGCTGTTCCTGTCAACACTTGACTCTTCTCTGCATCTGTCCAAAACCACCTGTGTGTGTCCGCGTGTACACACAGACACACATGTTCACACGTAAACACTCATGCTCATAACGCACACACACACACACACACGTAAACATTCAGATAACGTCAGTATGTGGACACAAAAAAGACAAAGATCCCCCCAATAGCCTACATGGGCTGTTGGGTTAAGTGCTGTTAGCGGGTACATATGAAGGCTGGCACGACGCGTCACGGGGTGGTTTGGGTCTGAACCATGCACAGCCGCCTTTGTCTCCCCAGTCCTGATGCTCACACGCAGCGCTCGGTACTCATCTAAGGCTGAGTTGACCTAGGGAATGGCCCAGAAGCCGTTTAGCTATTTACCATAGGAAAAAAGAAAGAAAAAAAAAACCCGCCAAAATACTGTAAAACAAACCACGTGTTGTGCTCTACAGCACACGACGGTTCTTCGTGAACGACGCAAAGTGGCTCACGCACGAGGGCTAGACGGGGCGGATGGCGGCGACGCTGTCAGCGACGCGAGCATGGGAGTGTTGCAGATACAGCGACGACGCATTCGCGAACGACGTAACAAAAACACAGGAGCGGTGGGGGGGGGGGGGTGGGAGACGTGAATCGGGACGTCGCTCTACTCTGTTTATGGCTTCTTCAGACGAGTCGACGTAGGGGGCAGAGAGTCATTCTCTCTGCCGACGATGCCCGGATCACGGCGACGCAGCGCTTTGGCTTCTGGGGACGGGTGGCGCGTGAGGGTGAGGCGCGAGAGCGAAGCCTGTTGCACCTTGCAGATGTCGGGCATGTGGTTGATGAGCTGGAACATGGGAGAGCGCGTGGTGTCCTCCTTCTGGAAGTATGTCATCAGCTCGTTGCACCTGCGCACGCACCGGAAACACGCGCCCACGGCACCGTTTCGATCAATACTCAACGGAATCGGAATCTTTATTGAGGCCGGAGGGATACGGTGAGCCGCAGATGTCCTGTAAAGGGGGGGGAGGGGGGCGTCAGCAGAGTTACACGAAGATAAAGACACGCGCGTGCCAGTCACCATCACCTTGCCCATGTCTCTCCACCGCCAACGCCCATCACATCAGAAACAGAGAGGAGCTGTGTGGCGCTAAACTTTGACCATTTGTTTAGGTTATTTTTAGGCCAGAGTTATTGGCGAATGTGTTGACATGTTTAGTGATTTGTGCTTCGGCACCACTGACAACGCAGCATCGCGATAAAACATTAATTGTTTTGTTCTTATTATAGGTGGAAAAGAGCCGATGAAAAAAAGCAGGTACGGTACCGATAGCTGCTCGTGGTGTGTGCATGGTCAATAGCCAGTTCCGTAAATAATCTTAATTAGAATTTTCACTCGTGTTAATCGGTACAAGGGCAACACATATACTTCAGGGGACCACATTAATGTAGATTTAAATTGTCTCACTTTGCAAGTGTACGGCCCAATAGCCCACCATGGGACATGTGCTGTTAGCAAGCACTTGTAATACATTATTAACGCTTTATTAGCTTATTGATGCCTCATCATTACCTGCACACCTAGCATGGGAGCTCGTGAGACCCGTCATTATCAACCACGACCAATCAATTGAGATTCATCATTTTTTTAACTACACTGTCAAAACTTCCCGACCGTTGCCACGTCCGACTCGGGTTTCCCCGAGCTCGTAGGGCGGCACGCTAACCGCAGCGCCACCACTCCTCCCCCCCCCCCCCCCCCCCGCTCTCTCACGAGCGTCATACCTTTGGTGCGTGACCATGGTGAGCACCACGTCGGCGTGGCCGTTGAGGATGGCCTCGTTGAGGCAGGAGAAGCCCTCCGCGTTCAGCATCAACTCCGCTCCCTCGTCCAGCAGCAGCCGCGCCGTCGCCGCGTGGCCCTCACGCCCACACAGGTGCAGCGCCGTGTGCTGGCGGGGGGGGGGGGGGGGGACACACACAAAGACAAAGAGCGCGCGTATAGCCTCAACATACCGTTGGGGCAAGGGCTGTTCCATTGGAAAGTCATTTCTTTAGAACTGCTTGTTGTGTTTCGTTTCTTGTCATTGCCCTGCACCTCGGATTAGCACGGTTGGCTATGTCAGGTGCGAAATAAGTTAAGTATATTGTAGGCAAGGCCGTAGCCATGGAGTCAACATTGGGGGGGACCAAATCTTCCAGGGCGTCTGGGGGTCCCCCCCCCCCCAGAAAAAAATAAATCTAAATTTGAAAACGAATTTCCTGCCATTTCCTGCCGAAAATATAAAAAAAATTCGCTAACACATAGGATGGAATTTTATTTTATTTTTTACAATAATGTCTAATAGTGTATTGTATTACATTGCTCTGTTTTTTCTTTTTTACCTTTTCTTGTTTCATTGTATGTAACGGCAGAGATTATGGATTAATAAAGTACAACCATAACCACAATCATATAAACAGAAATCTATTTTATAGCAATATATTGGTGGGGGACATTTTGAGCATATTAGAATATTGGGGGGGATGTGTCCTCCCCAATATATATTATAATTACGCCCTTGTATGTAGGGGTGCTGCGGTGGTGAGATGTTAACTCCCTACTCTGGTATGCAGGAGGACGTAGGTTCGATCCCGACCCTGACCTCTGGATATATATATACATATATATGTTCTCCCTGTGGTTGTGTGGATTTGTCTCGGGGTCCTCCGGTTTTCCCCTCCACATTTAGAATCAACACACATTTAGAGTAATTTGGCTGCTTAAAATTTCCACACGGTAAGTCACTTCGTTGAGCTTTCATTTGTGGCCAGGTGGCTTCTGAAAAAGAGCTATATAGCTCAGTGGGCCTTAGCTGGTAAAATATAAATAGTTACAAAATGAACGATTTCACGCATTAGTCTCGCTCACCCCTCCTTCCTCTGTTTTGTTGAGCAGGTTGCGATGTGTCTCGAGCAGAAGCTTGATGGTCTGCGTGTAGCCACCCACAGCTGCCCAGTGCAGGCTGGTACGGCCCTGGTGGTCTCTACACAAAGACAAAGATCCCCCAAATAGCCTGAACAGACTGTTAGGGCAAGTGCTGTCAGCGAGCACCTATGAAGGCCCGCACGGCACACGAGGGGGTGGTTGACCGGTACCACGCCCCGGTCGCCTTTGTCTCCCCAGTGGTGATGTTTACACATCGCACCAGGTACTCATTTGAGGCTGAGTCGATCTAGGGAAGGCCCAGGACCGGTTCAGATAATCGTCACTTGTGGTGGCCGTGAGCGGGAATCGAACTTGGGTCGCCGGATTCGTAGCGCAGAGCGCTAACCGTTGCACCACCGCTCCCCTTGCACGCACACGTGCACGCGGCACCCAAAACACTGCATCACAATTTCCACGGCCAGCTTCCATGAGCAGTGACGTCACCGCAGCGCTTGTGCCAGGCTAGGTGCACTCTGAAGCCACGTGAAGTGGCGAAAGTTCGCTGAGCAATCAACACCACCACCATCGCCATTGGTCGGGGTTTTTGACAGCATCTTTACTTAGATGCTATATAAATCCGATATGAATTGTATCAGCAGCAGTATCGCCACCACTACATCATCATCGACACCACGATTTATATTGCCTTGAACAGATATAGCTCATGCACAAATCTAATTAATTATAGCAGGAGTGGGGAACCTTTTCCTGAATCAGGGCATGAATAAGACCTTCACATACCGGCCATATGAGGCACCATTCCTTTGGCAGGAAACCACACATGAACGACACACGTTCAAAAGCTTAAAGCAGAAAACAATCTGCGTGTCTGTCGACGGAGTATGAAGGGGCCTTTGCAAACTGAGGACTCCACAATTACACGCTGTTGGCGCCATCCCAGGAATATCGCCCCTCGAAACACCCGATGAGTGTGGACAGAGACGATCCGCAATCTCGAGGGCGAGGTTCGTAAGCCCCGGGGGGGGGGGGGGGGGGTGGGAGAGGGGGCAGTCAAAAGCTGACGTGGGAGCGTGGCGCCCTGGGCGGTCGAGGCGTCACCCCCCGCTGGGCGGCCACCGCAGCCGTCTCCGCTCACCGCAGCAGCAGCGCTCCCCTGCTGAGCAGCAGCTGCACGACGCGCGTGTGGCCGTTGGAGGCGGCGAGGTGGAGGGCCGTGAGGCCGTCGCCGTCGCCCTCGTTCATGAGCTTGGAGCCGCGCGCCGTCCGCAGGAGTTGCGCGCACGAGTTGAGCCGCCCGTACCTGCGGTTCGCTCGGCACAACGCTGTCCCCGTCAGTCATCCTCCCGAGCGCCGCGACGGACAATGCTCGCGGACGCACGCGCCGTCAAGTTAAGAGAAAAAAAATAAAATAAAAAAATGAATGAATGATTCGTGATGATAATTCAAATTTCTCGCGCGCATTCCATCCCAGGATCCCGGCGCAGCAATGCATTAGAAGCAGGAAATAAAAAACGGAACCAGGGCAAGCGACCAAACTAAAGAGGGAAGGCCACTTTTAAGAGATGCGGTTTTCAAAGCAGGCTTGAATCTATCTACCGACTCGGATTGCCCTGATTTCAAGTGGCAAGGCGTTCCATAGCTTGGGTGCCACGCTAACAAAAGCCCGGTCACCAAAAGAGCGCCACCTAGACCTGGGGATGTGCTGAGCAGTTGGAGATCAGAAAATGTTAAGGACCTTGATGGAATATATTAATGTATTACTGTAGTTCACGCCTCATGATGACATCATACAACTGCGATACAGTCAATGATTCCAATGAACTTTTGCAAAGCCTTAATGTAGACATAAAACACATTTTTACACGTGTCTGCGATTCATATTCTACTCAGTTCATCGGCGAGCTCAAACAATTGGCGCGTTGTTAAACGCTTCACAGCGGACAACTGCATTTGTTTGGCTCTGTCGGGAGGTGGATGGTTTCACGACACGAATTCAGTGAGATCCCAACGTGGCTTAACATAAAACGTCTGTCGCGAATTGTAATTAGTGTGCGTCTTTTAAATACAGATTGTCAGAAAAAATAATAACATAAAACGAGCAACAGCAATCACCCTGTAATGATATTTTGCAAAACGAACGATACCGATCGGCAATCGTGGATGTAAAATCGCACGGTATGTCGTAGCGGGGGACCCTGCCACGCTGTAGTGGTTGTCGCAACGGGTCGGTCCCCCATCGCGGCGGCTGAAACAAGCATCTTCAGGTCCCCCACCAGAAGTATAAATGTGTACACCGCGGTTAGTCGGCCGGCAGCTCGCTTGCGGCGGGGTAAAGTACTATGTGGGTAATCCCGCCTCTGCAAAGGTGTCTGGCCAGCGTGAAAGAACAGGCCAAAATTCCTCGCGGAGGAGCTCTCTGGAGCTCGCCCCAGTCGAAGACCTTCAAGCCCTTGCCAGCGGCATGAGCAAGCAATAGCAGGGCTGCACCCTGTGAGCGATGCCCGCCTTGCACACGTCCCACGTGTACGGACACTCCAACTCATGGAATTGGCCAAACGTCCAAATTTAGAACCACAAGGCTTGGCCAATTGTTGACGCCGTTTCTGGACGCCTTCCCGCTAATTATCATCATGATCATCATATTCTGCCATCCCCATATTGCGGCAATCGTATGTATGTACGTTGAACTTCTTTTGCACCGTAGGAAGCCAACCGTACTAATCGGAGGTGCTAGGGAAGGACAACAAACGAAAGACGAAAAGCAGTTCCAAACATTTCAATCTAGACGACTTAAAAGTGCACAGCTCCATTGGACACCTATTATTGGAAGCAAGAGCGTTCCAGACGGCCGCAGAAGCGCATCTGAAAGCGCGCGATGCGGTCACCATCCCTGGCGATCGCGCGCGCATGCATGTGCTGTGCTCACTCGGCAGCGAAGTGGAGCGGAGACTTGTTGGCCTTGCTCTTGAGGTGAATGCTCGCCTGCAGGGGCAGCACCCCGCCCAGCGCCTCGATGGTGCCATACTTCGAGGCGTAGTGGAGCGGTGTGCAGCCCTCCGTGTCCTTGTCTTCCAGCAGAGCCTTGATGTCCTCGCGCTGGGCATGGATGGGGGAGGATGCACCCGATTGGTCTAAGCTTCTCACCCGATATATTTCCCGCCCGAGCGCAGCTAGGCCGCTCGACGTCACAAGTTTCCCGGTGACAATATTCTATAAATGAAACTATTTTTTTTTATTTTACCAGGTAAGGCCCACTAACCTATGTAATTTTTTTCTTAAGAAGCGATCTGGCCACAAATTATAGCTCAATGAAGTGGCTCATCACGTGGAAATGTACAGCAGCCAAACACTCTAAATGCATGTTTATAAATGTGGAGGGAAAAAGAGGAGGACCCGGAGAAAAATCCACGTGACCACGGGGAGAATCTGCAAACTCCAAATGTACAGCAGGCGTCAAGAGTCGGGATCGAAGCCGCGACCTCCTGTATACCAGGCGAGGTAGTTAACATCTCACCACCGTGGCGGTTATTCATTTAGGTCACCCCCCGCTGCACTCGTCCTCTGCAATGTTTGGCGTTTTTGATTGGTTGCTGCTGCTGCTGCGGTGCTCACGCACCCGGCGGATCTCCGTTGTTACAATAGCCGGGCAGCTGGCTGAACGGGGATCATCATCCGAGTAACAAATCAAAGAAACTTTCACTGAAAAAAATCCAGAAAACTTAAACAAGGCGTCAAAACGTCCGTTTGGAACAACATACGACCTGGAATCAAACCTGTGCACACGGCGCCGTGATGCCTCTTGACATTGGAAACTTGCCGGTGGCCCAGGTGCCTCAGGGGGTGGGGGACTGAAGCCCTCCTTCTCTCTGGGACACACCCAGCCGGCACGAGATCCCCGCGCGGGTGGCTCGGCTCAGCGGCCGCACCCTTCGTCGCTTGTTGGAATTGGTGACGAAGCATCCGCCGTTGCGGTGCCAACGTTTTGGAATAACCACGCTTCTTCCCACCAACCATAGGGGTCGGCAAAACCTGCGTCTCCGAAGCTGCGCGCGGCTCTTTAAGGGCCGTTTCGTGACGTCTTGGCTTACGGTCCAGCGTCTTGCATTCGCGTTGCATCGCGGGTCATTAAGCATTGAGGGTTTTGTCGACCGTATTCGAAAAAAAAAGTCTCTTCCTGTTATTTTGGGTTGCTGAGCCCTTGCCTTAAGCTCATACATCTACCTCCAAAGAATGTGTCCTCAAACAGAAGATGTTACTGCCACATTCGCCACTGCAATTTGAAACTATGAAATGTAATCACGGTATAATAAAAAAATGCAATTATAAAGTGAAATGTAATCGAGGGATTGTATTGTCTTGATATGGTCTTGTATTGTTATTGTTGTTATGCTGCCTTGCCCAAGCTTACATTGAATCTTGACAAATCTGCATAAATGTATATACCAGTTGCAATTTGTACTTGCATGCTATATCTATATATTGCATCAACTTGCTTAACCTGTCTCTCTCCTACTCTTGTCTCATCTCTTCTATTGTTTGTTGATGTAACTTGTTAACATACCCCGACTGTACATCTGTGACTAAAAGAGCTTCACAGCGAATCAGATTCCTCCTCCATCTCCAAGTAGAGATTCTGACTCTGTTGTGGAGCGGATCTGGTGGGCCACCCCGGTTAATTCTGCGGGTGGATTCACCGTGAGGTGCGCGACGTCTGCTTCACAGCGGACGTTATCGATTCCCGCCTCCCCCTCCCCCGACGTTCGGCACGAGCGGGCTTCTGTGTGCCAGCATCACGGCCCGAATTGTGTGCAAGTTGTTCAATTAGGGATCACGCAAGTGGGGATGAAGGGTGTGAAAAAGTGACCCGATTAAGGAGTTTTAATCGGGTTCTTGAGACACCACCTCTTACCCTGTGGTTCTTTCGGTAAAGTCACGTAGTTAGAAATAAAATGACATAAAACAAACCACGACGTTTCGCTTGTGTTGCGATCGAAACGTCGTGATTCGTATAATTTTATTTCTACCCACGTGACTTTACCGAAAGAACCAAAGAGCTTCAAATCAAGATTACACCACCTCTTGCCACCACTTGCCACGAGAGTTCTGCACGATGCTTTCTTTATCTCCCGACGTGACGCCGATTGCTCAACCGCGTATAGCAGCAGAACTCGGAGCGATGGAACGTCGCAGCAGACGTCCATCCCTGCGCGCTTCTTGAAACCGAGCAAAAAAAATAAAAATAAACGTCCCACGGTAAGCCAAGCACCTCACCTGAAAGATGTCCTTCCCAAAGTTTCCCAGCCACCCGCCTTGCGAGACCGCCACGTGCAGGAAGTTCCGCCCCTTGATGTCCTGGATGCTCACGTTGGCTCCTGCGTCAACGCCACGCGCAGGGGGCGATGTCACGCGCGTTCGCCGTTCGTGAATAACGCGGCGGCGTCTTTGATTTTAAAAACTTGGAGGCAGTGTAACACGTAGGCTTTCGCGACCAATATAATCCGTAATAGAGTTTTTAGTTTTTTGGGTTAGATCGTGTAAATATATTAATGTGTCGTTAAAACCCACCACCACCCGACACGGCCAATTAGTAAGGTTCCTCTTCTGAAACAGAACGTGCCAATTCCGTACTAGTACAGCACACCGCTTTGTTGGAGAGCAAATCTACAACATTTACAATCTGAGCACGACGTTTCGCCAGTAATTACAACTTGCTTCATCAGGCAGCAAGAGAGACGCCCCCCCCCCCCACTCCAGTATGCCAAAATCGTCGTATCACACGTGTCGTGACGGGTACTGCAAGATCCGACCGTGTCCGTCCAGTGCTTGCCGAGCTACGTTGACTTCTCGTTGCCGAACGCATTTTGAGGTCGCACTGACTCCACGCAAAGAGCTTGCCATAAATGGACCACAATACCTTGCTGAGGAGCATGAACCATCACGCGAACTCTGGTCATCCTCGCAGAGGCTTTTGGCTGGCCATTGAACAAAGATGGTCATTGCATCGGCCTCAGAACGATTGTTTAAGGCCGCTTTATAACTTACAATTTGTATTATTGTCGCTCGATTTCAGATACACTCTTGTGGTCGTCTGAAACACTCTTCCTTCCGCTGGAGCCATGCGCTTTTAAATCATCGAGATTGAAAACTTATTTCTATAGAACTGCTTCTTGTGTTTAGTTTGTGGTCCTTCCCCCCCCCCACCTCCTATTAGTACGGTTGGCTACGTACGGTGCGAAAGAAGTTCAACATACGTACATACAAATGCGAGCCACAAGACAGAGGATACTTTAAACACGACAGGGTCACGTGGGGTGGCCACGCTCAGTGGTCCCGCAGTCGGCCGCCGGTTTTCTGATCACGCCGGCGTAGATGACGCGACGGGCTCAGCCCGGGCGCCACCGGGGAGTGCCGCTCACCCAGGGAGAGCAGCGTGGTGACGGTCCTCCAGGCTCCGCGCATCGTCGCGAGGAGGCACGGCGAGCGCTTCTCCCTGTCCAGGCTGTCCAGCTCGGCGCCCTGTCGACAACCGGCGTGCCTGCTGAGACTTACGTTCCGCGACGGAGCCTCTCGTTTCACGATAGAGCCTCGCGTTCCATGATAGAGCCTCCCGTTCCATGATAGAGCATCTCGTTCCATGATAGAGCCTCCCGTTCCATGATAGAACATCCCATTCCATGATAGAGCCTCCCGTTCCATGATAGAGCCTCCCGTTCCATGATAGAGTCTCCCGTTCCATGATAGAGCATCCCATTCCATGATAGAGCCTCCCGTTCTATAATAGAGCCTCCCGTTCTATATTAGAGCCTCCCGTTCCACGATAGAGCCTCCCGTTCCACGATAGAGCATCCCGTTCCACGATAGAGCATCCCGTTCCATGATAGAGCCTCCCGTTCCACGATAGAGACTCCCATGCAATGATAGAGCCTCTCGTTCCATGATAGAGCCTCCCGTTCCACGATAGAGCCTCCCGTTCCATAATAGAGCCTCCCGTTCCATGATAGAGACTCCCATTCAATGATAGAGCACCCCGTTCCATGATAGAGCCTTCCGTTCCATGATAGAGCCTCCCATTCAATGATAGAGCCAGCGATTGGACGAAATTCATTCTGGTAAAGTAACAGTTGCTGGCCAAACATCCCAGTACCTGCAAATTACTCAATTGTGGTAAATGTACACATAGTAACATCGACTATAAAAACTTGTCAGGACCCTCCCTTGAGACTCACTGAAGATCAACCACTGTGGAAAAGACTGCAAATCAGCCCCTCCGCAGTCACGGTCGCACACACACGACACGACACCATCATCAGCGTCAACTTTGGTTACGAAAGACAAAGGAAAACAACAACAACAACAAAAGTGTGATTGCCCGAGCCTTTGAACGTGGCTTTGGTTGAGGGCTAAAGGCCCAAGAACTCACCTCCCGCACCAGGTACTCCACCAGCTCGTAGTGATCAAACATAGCCGCCCTGCAGCAAAAACATCACCACCCACGGTGTGAGGATTAGAACACGCGGACACGTGCGTGCGCGCGTGGTGGTGAGCAGCAGCGTAGCGGTTAGTGCACTGCGTCCTGAACCCGGTAACCCGAGTTCGATTCCCACTCACGGCCAACACCAGTGACTTTAATCTGAACTGGTCCTGGGCAGTCCCTTGGTCAACTCGGCCTTAAATGTGTACCTGGTGTAGTGTGTAAACATCGCCACTGGGGAGACAAAGGCTGCCAGGCATGGTGCTGGCCACTCACCCCCTCGCGTGCCGTGCCGGCCTTCATAGGTGCACGCTAACAGCACTTGCCCCAACAGTCTGTTAAGGCTATATAAACGAAACTATTTTTTTATTTGACCAGGTAAGGCCCACTGAGCTATATAGCTCTTTTTCAGAAGCAATCTGGCCACATATTAAAGCTCAACGAAGCGGCTTATCACGAGGAAATGTATTTCAACCTGTACTCTAAACGCGTTTTTCTAAATGTGGAGGTGAAAAAAAAAACAGTGGACCCGGAAAAAAATCCACGATATGCGGGATCCTCGGAGATTCCTTTCAGTAGAGACTTTTTCCTAAGAACTCCGCAAGTCAGGGCTAGCGACCGGGCAAGGTCAGTAGCCCCGGCACGTGGCCGACGTTGGGTAATGATGTGAATGTGGTGGCAGCACAAGAGGAGTGGAAGAGGAGGGAGAAGAACGTCAAGTGAGGTGACGTTACTTGTGCAACGGCGTCTGCTCCTCGGCGTCACGCAGCTTGAGGCTCTCCCTCTGCGGGTCCTGCATGGAGAACATCAACTGGACCATGTCCATTGCCCCCTGGGCGCACGCCAGGTGCACAGGCGTGGACTCATCATTCTGGTGGGGGGGGGGGGGGGGGGGGGCGAGGGTTGTGGACGGGAGGGGGGCAACAATTAGAGTAATAAAATGTTAGGCCCCCACCGCTGAGTTCCACGCGCTAGGTTCAACGTCAGTCTCCAACTTCGATTAGCACGGTTGGCTACTTACGGTGCGAAAGAAGTTCAAACAAACATACAGCTCCTTTTCAGAGCGAGCCGCAATTACCAAATCGTCGTCATCGTCATACAGATCATCGGTCATTCGCTCCTTAATGTAAGCGGTCTTCTCGTATTTCGCTTAAGACGCCCAGCTAAAGTACGCTTGATTGGTGATTGTTACTCTCCTAACAACGTTCCTATTCAAATATCCCACTTTTGTTTTTCATTAACAGTGTTAAAACACTTCATCTGCGTCATAGGCAGTCGTTGAGTCCTGGTCATAAGCGTGTGTGTTCATGACTCCAATTCAAAACCAGAGGCGATTTTAATTATCTCCCCTTTAGACCAGAGCTGAAGTGGCCACTCCCAGGGTCAACTTACTAACAAGCAGCCAGCGAAAGCTGCCCGGATGTCATAATTGTGTTTTCACGGTGTATTTTCCATTCAGTAAGTGCAGGCATTATTGCATCTCGCTGACAGATGACCTTTGTTATGATCGTGCATTTAAACTGTTGCGATCATTTGTCTCATACCTAGCAGAAACAATCACACAAGCTCACAAACACACCCAGAAGACAAATACAAAGCTCCCCCGTATAGCCTTTATCATGCTGTTGGGCCAAATGCTGTTTGCGAGCATCTATGAAGGCCGGCGCAACACACGAGGGGGTGGGTGGTAGCCAACACCACGCCCGGCCGCCTTTGTCTCCCTAGTACTGATGTTTATACACCGTAGCAAGTACTTATTTAAAGCTAAGTCGACCTAGGGGAGGCCCATTGCCTGTTCAGATATTCGCCACTGTTATTGGTCGCGAGCGGGAATTGAACGCGGGTCGCTAACCACTGCGCCACCGCTCCCCCCCACCACCACAGGGCCGTATTATTTGCAAGCACTGTGCCAAGGGCATACGAAAACTAAAGGGCCTACGAAATATAAATTGAACACGTTTTTTGTTTGTTTGTATATATGATGAAAAAAACATTTAACCAAGATATATTATTGAATAAATAAATTTACTTGGGAGCTCGTTGTAATTTCTTTGCAGTGGTAACAAGTCGTTGACTCGTTGTTGGGGCATATTACACCAACAATAAAAGTCAAACATCTTTAAGCTGAAACGAAAGTAAAGCAATAAGGCGCTCGCCATACGGTCGTCCGGTCAGAACCGTGGATTTGTTATTGATTAAAATGAACGGCATCCTTTTAAAGCTGCTCCATTCGATATGATAATCATATAATTACATTGTCGAAGACATTTCCCCGTTTATTTTTAAGTTTACCTTGGGTTTTCGCTCTCAATAATTTCGCATAAAATCTGCTTATCTGCGGCACACGGTGCGCTCCCATCGAATTATGGCAAAGTCTAAACGACGTCTGTCCACCGGCTGGACGATGTACCTGGTGAAACAAGCGAGTGACAGCGGTGGGAGGAGTAAAACATGGGGCAGCAGTGCCGACCGTAGAAATGTATCACTGAAGGTCTACGAAAACACAATTGCCTACGGACTTAGAAGAACCTTAATCCCCCACCCCCCGGCCTTGCTGTTTTGGAACACGAGTCTGTTGGTTCTACAGCGTGGCAAATTGGGACAGCGATATTGATTGCGAAAGCCTTTGTGTCAAATTGACCAAAAGTGGTTCTGTTTCGTTGAAGCGACCGCTGTCATTGGCGAACTTAAAGCACGTGTCGAGTGACACGTAGCCTCCATTGCAAGTGTCACTGCCACGCGGCCACCGTGTGTACACTTCCTACGGTCGAGCAGAGATGACCGTGGCTCTGTACAATAGGTAAAAGTGAAATAACCCCCCCCCCACCCAAAATAACATCGGCTGCAGTAACACAAACACTGAGTGAATACTCCGACGAAGCTTAATCAAGTAATTTGCCCTCGAGTACACACCCCCCCCCCCCCTCCGCACAGAATCGCTTTTCAGCGCGACTGCGTGACCTGCCTGTCACGTGTCGGCGATGCGGTGACGCGTCGGGCCAACCCAATGGCTCCGCCTGTCACAAGCCTGAGCGCAGTCACTTGGAGCTCTTCCCACCCAAGGCCACCTGCGCACTGCTGGGTAACCAGCTCATCGGCGGGCGCCTTCCTTCGTTTGCCATTTTCTGACACCCACGTAGAAGGCCTTCGTCCAGCAGTGGAGTGGCCACTGCTGGATGTGCACGTGCAGGCCTGCCGAAACCGTCTCTCCGTCCGGCCAGTTGAGGCGGCGTTCTGTGAGGACCAGCGGCGGATTATCCTAGTAGCTACATAGGCTACGAGCCCCGCACTTTCAAGGGCTATAGTACTATACTGCCTTCAACTTTTATGACCGACCGGGTGTTTAAGGTTAGAGGTTTGTCGTATTATCTGGGCTGTGTAGCAAATGAAAAAAAATATACAATTACTTTACTTTGCAAGTAAAAAAAATTCGTGTTTTAATATTTATGTGTTTTTTTTTATTAATTTAGGGCCCCTTTATAACAGATGCTACAGGCCCCACACTAACTTAATCCGCCAATGGTGAGGACAGATGCGATAAATGGCTAAAACTATAAAACGCCACATTTTTTGTTTGTTTACCAGGTTAGGGCCACCTAGCTACGTAGCTCTTTTTCAGAAGCGACCTGGCTATCTCAGAAATGATAGCTCAACGAAGTGGCTTATCATGTGGAGATGTATAGCAGCCAAATACTCTAAACGCGTGTTGATTCTAAATGTGAGGGGGGACAAACCGGAGGACCCGGAGAAAAATCCACGCGACCACGGGGAGAACATCCAAACTCCAAATATACAGCACGTATCAGGGTTGGAATCGACCCCACGACGTCCTGTATATCAGGCGAGGTAGTTAACATCTCGCCACTGCGGCGACCCTGATTAGCCCATTGACAGACATCTTCAATCGTGAGCCTTGTCCTAGGATACATGGAAGATTCGGCTCAGCCATCTTATGACGGACAGCGTCCAACCTTTATTTGCCGAGCACTTATCAAGGCGAGCACTGCACACAAGGCGACATAGCGGACTCATGTTAGGCTGCGGGGAGCGGTGGTGCAGTCGTTAGTTAGCACGCTGTGCTAGAATCCGGCCGCCACGAGTTTGATTCCCGCTCACGACCTCCCCTAGGTCGACTCAGGCTCAAATGAGTAGCTGGTGCGGTGTGTAGATATCGTGACTGGGGAGAGAAAGGCGGCCCGGCGTGGTGTTGGCCTCACACCCCCTTGTGTACTGTGCCGTCCTTCATAGGTGCTCGCTAACAGCACTTGTTCAGTCTGTTCAGGCTACATATGGGGGGGGTCATTGTGTTTTGTTTGATGATAATAATTGGGGATGGTGATTATAATGGTGATAGTGGTGGTGATGCTGAGTTGCTGCTGATAATGATCATATGCTGCTGATGCTGACAATAATAATGACGATCGTGATGATGTTTGCTTCTGCTGATGACGACGGTGATGATGTGCTACTGATCTTGACATTAATAATGATTCTGATGGTCAGTTGCTTGTGCTGATGATGACAAGTCTCATGCCGTCGGTGACGACAACTTTAACATAAAAACACCACGATTAGCACGGTTGGCAGTGTACGGTGCGAAAGAAATTAAAAATGCATACATAGAGTAGTCTCTCGGTTAACAGTGACATCGGTTAACAGGTTAAGAGTTTCGCCCCCCATGGGACCCCATGGTTTCGACTAACGTTAACATTTTGATTAACACTACGTTGACGTTATGCACGCGGGCGTCAATTTCGGCCAATCCCAGCGCTCGTTAAGTGGGGCCGAGCCATTCCCTCAGCCAATCAACGACGACCCCCATTCATGAGCGTTACAGATTTGTTTTGTTAACATTACGTTTCCCGTTTCGGCAGTGGGGGAAACGGCGCTCTCGCAGACTCATTGATTTTCATTTGGCTTATTTTTCAACTTACAGGTGAATTCGGAGAACGGTCGTTCCGGCTAACGTCAGTTTTCGCGGTAACGAATGAAAAACACACGACGTTAACCGAGGCGTGAGCGTACATGCGAGCGGCACCTGCTTGGCGTCGATGCGGGCGCCCGACTGCAGGCAGATGCGGATAATGCCCAGGTGGCCGGCGTGCACCGCTATGTGGAGGGTGCTGTTCTGGCTCTTGTCCGCGTAGTTCAGGATGGTCTCCTTCATGTAGCCCTTCTCCTCCGCTGGGGCGGCGGGTTGCGGACACGTGGGTGGCACATGCGGAATCAGAACGTTTACTTTGACGGCAGGAATCCGATGAGCGACGAAGAGAGCGTTACATTTCACAACCAGGTGTCGTGGTTGTAGGCAGGCGCGTCAACGCGAGGACAAGGGAAGCCGAGGCCGTGGTGGTGAAGGTCGTGGTTCAAATCCCCGGTAAGGAGTTGAACTCGACTCACGTTCCTTCCGATCTAAATCAAATCAGCACAGTTTTAACACGTATGCTTTCGCGACCAATATTATTCATAGTAAAGGTTTTTGGGTTAGATCGCGTTATTTATAAATGTGTCGTAACCCTCCACCACTCGACACGGCGAAACAGTAAAAAAAAAGTGTCACGTTTAACATAGGACAAATAGTTCACTACTTTAGCCCACCGGTGTGTTGAAGAGTGAATCAACATCATTTAAAATTTGAGTACGACGTTTCGCCGGGTGGTCATCGTTTCGGCGGCGAGAGCGATGAGCCGGTGCCACTCAGAAATGGGCTAAACATCCATGTTTGAAGTGTGGTGAGTTAACTATTTTTATTTTATTTTACCAGGTAAGGCCCATTGAGCTATGCTACTCTTTTTCATAAGCGACCTGGCACACGCAAATGATAGCTCAACAAAGTAGCTCATCACGTGGAAATGTATAGCAGCCAAATACTCAAAACGCACGTTTCTAAATGTGGAGGGAAAAAGCGGAGGACCCGGAAAAAAAATCCACGGGCAGAGAGACATGCGAACTCGAAATATACAGCAGGCGTCAGGGTCGGCATCCAACCCACGACCACCCGTGCACCAGGTGAGGTAGTTAATATCTCGCCCACCGCGGTGCCCTTTGGTTTCAGAGTCCATGGTTTCAGAGTCGACGGTCTCATCCCGGTAAACAATGCATTACACAAAAAATAAGAATCATATTTGGTAGTTTTTTTTTCAATTGATGTCACGTGATGCGTATTTCTATGTAGCAGGGTGTGTGGAGAAGTGCACGCCTGGCGTGAACTCGGGTCGCCAGGCTCTTAGGGTAGTGCGCAAACACATGAGTCACACGAAGACAAAGATCCCCCGTATAGCCTTTACCATTCTTTTGGGGCAAGTGCTGTTAGCGAGAAGCACCTATGAAGGCTGGCAGGGCACAAGAGGGGGGTGTGCGGCCAACACCACTCCCGGCCACCTTTGTCTCCCCAGTGCTGCTTTCTTTACACATCGCACCAGGTACTCATTTAAGGCTGAGGTGACCCAGGGGAAGGGCCCGGGACCAGGTCAAAAATTTGCCACTGCCGGGTTCTAAGCGCAGCGCCTATAACCACTACACCCTCGCTCCCCACACAATGCACCGCGCACACACACACACACACCTACAATCTGGAAATACGCTGCCGTTGGCATCAAAGCAAGCAGGCAGTGTTTACAGCTATCAGTGCGAATTTTTACAGGACGTCTCGCCGATGACACCAGACCGCCTTGCGCTGGCGGTGAGCAAAGTGCGCCGGTTGAATGACGTCGGGGAACCCGGTGAGAGGTTCCGCAGGGACCCGTGAACGCAGCAGGAGTAGAGACACGTGGGGGCAGGGGGGTATAGCCGGCTCCAGACCTTGGCGATCAGTTGCGCATGCACAATCACCCCCCCCCCCCCCAAGTGGACGATCGCGCAACCCAAATTTGCAACGCAGGCTCCTTCGGTTGCACGTCTGAGCGAGCAGTCCCGTGCGGCAATGGAGTTCGAACGTCGCGTTCGGGCACGTTGACACGCAATCGCGCGTTCGCAAAAAACCGACCCGCGGCGCGTGGCGGAATGACGTCGCTACGGATCGCGCGATCAGTTCTCTCGAGAGCACGGTCGGCCTCCGCTGTGAGCAACCGATTGTGCGGCTGCTCGCAACTGGTCTACAGAGACGTCCACAACGCGTGCGATTCAGTTGCATGCAACTAGGTTGTACAACTGACGGTTGCTGTTATCCTCGTGTATTTTTTTTTTTAAATGTCTGCTGCAATCACCCCATCTGCATAAATACTCGCTGTCTGTGCCCTATTTTCCCCCGGGGCATTTTGATCGCAACCATGGTCCAGTGTGTTTTTTTATTTATTGTTATTTTGCCTCTTTACCCAGAAAACCATCACCGAGTCTCGAGACTCGTTTGCAGGAGGGTCCTGCGACGTTGTTTCCCAGAATCGGGCGATTGCTGCTACTACGTGTTACCCCAATCGAGTACATCTGCAGGTATTTTCTTTCAGCAACGGAATGTTTTCGCCAATGCCAGCCACGTTATATGTTTGTGTTTAGCTATGGCAGGAAACCATTGAACTCGGAGGAAGCTCATGCACGAACGGCGGGGAGAACATGACAAACTCCAGACAGAAAGCGGGCCGGGGTCGGGAATCGAACCCAGGTCCTTATTTTGTTGCTGTGAGACACAAGCGTTACCACTGCGTCATCCTGCCGCACAGATATGCCCCTCCGCTGCAATGTATGTGTGTATGCATGTTTAACTTCTTTCGTACCGTACGTAGCCAACCGCGCTAACCGGAGGTGTGGGCGAATCTGACAACAAACTAAACGCAATACGCAACTCTATAGAAATGTACTTTTAAATCGAGACTTAACAAACACATAGCACCCCCCCACCCACCCCCCCCCCCCCCCCCGGCGTATTCCTAACACAACTGTGGGTTGTGTGTGTGTGTGTGTGAACGCGTGCTGCGGATCTACCCTTGCGGAGCATGAACTGGAAGGACTTTGTGGAGCCGGCCATCACCGCGATGTGGAGGGGGAAGAACCCGAGCTGGCTCTTCTTGCACATGCGGGCGCCATGGTCCATCTGCCGAGAGGGAGAGGGTTGATGGGAGGTGGGGATACAGCAAGGCCGTAATTATAATATATTGGGGGGGGTTACCCCCCCAAAATATTAAAATATGCTCAAAATGTCCCCCCAAATATATTGCTATAAATATAATAATTGCTATGCTATGTAAATAAAAACAACAATTTGCTAAACCTTGGCCACAATATCTGGACTTGTCTTCATATAAATCAATGCATAGATTGCTGTTTATATGATTGTGGTTATGGTTGTACTTAAAAAATCCCTAATATCAAACATTACATACAATGAAACAAGAAATGGTAAAAAAAAGTAAAAACAGAGCAATGAGTTTTGAAATGTAGATATTTTTCTGGGTTGGGACCCCCAGCCACCTTGGAAGATTTGGTCCCCCCCAATGTTGACTCCATGGCTACGGCCTTGGTTTACAGGCACAACCGTCGCGATCACGCCCCCGACCGACTGCCTCTTGTCTCGCGAGTGGCGATGTTCGCACAACCGCACCAGGCACTCATTCGAGGCTGAGTCAACCTAGGGGAGGCCCAGGACCGGTTCAGACAATCGTCACTTGGTGCTGGCCGTGAGCGGGATCGAACTCGTGTCGCCGGGTTCGTAGCGCAGCGCAGCGTGGCTATCCGCCGCGCCGCCGCTGTGACGCACACAGACACACACGCGCCCAGCCTCTTCTTCGGCACCCTCAACGCAACCGGCCGCGTCGCCAACGCACGCACCAGCACGGCGATGCTCCTGGGGTGGTCGAAGGAGCAGGCCACCATGACGGGAGTCATCCCGTGCACGCCCTCGATGTCAACGTCCGTGCGTGCCTGCGACATCAGGGCCTGCCGGCACACGGGTGGGGGAGGCACGCGTCCAGTCCTGCTCGTCACATCCCTCCGCGGCGCGATGGTGTTCAGGTTGTCACGGTTGCAGGCTACGCGATGGCAATCTGTGGGGTTTTAGTTCAGGCGAAGTTACTCTGCGGATTTCACTTGGCTATTCTCTCAACCTAGTTGATGGACATTTGTGGGATTTTTTTTTAAATCCAGACTTTGTGCTCTGCAAGTTAAACCAAAAATAAAGACATTTTCAATTTTAGTTCACAGGTAAGGCCCATACAGCTATGTAGCTCTTTTAAAAAAACGACCTGGCCAACAAAAGTATAGCTCAACAAAGTGGCTTATAACGTGGAAATGTACAGTGAGGAAAAAGTATTTGATCCCCTGCTGATTTTGTACGTTTGCCTACTGACAAAGAAATGATCAGTCTATAATTTTAATGGTAGGTTTATTTGAACAGTTAGTGACAAAATAACAACAAGAAAATCCAGAAAAACGCATGTCAAAATGTTATAAATTGATTTCCATTTTAATGAGGGAAATAAGTATTTGACCCCCTCTCAATCAGAAAGATTTCTGGCTCCAAGGTGTCTTTTATACAGGTAACGAGCTGAGAGTAGGAGCACACTCTTAAAGGGAGTGCTCCTAACCTCAGCTTGTTACCTGTATAAAAGACACATGTCCACAGAAGCAATCAATCAGATTCCAAACTCTCCACCATGGCCAAGACCAAAGAGCTCTCCAAGGATGTCAGGGACAAGATTGTAGACCTACACAAGGCTGGAATGGGCTACAAGACCATTGCCAAGCAGCTTGGTGAGAAGGTGACAATTGGTGCGATTATTCGCAAATGGAAGAAACACAAAATAACTGTCAATCTCCCTCGGCCTAGGGCTTCATGCAAGATCTCACCTCGTGGAGTTGCAATGATCATGAGAACGGTGAGGAATCAGCCCAGAACTACACGGGAGGATCTTGTCAATGATCTCAAGGCAGCTGGGACCATAGTCACCAAGAAAACAATTGGTAACACACTACGCCGTGAAGGATTGAAATCCTGCAGTGCCCGCAAGGTCCCCCTGCTCAAGAAAGCACATATACATGCCCGTCTGAAGTTTGCCAATGCACATCTGAATGATTCAGAGGACAACTGGGTGAAAGTGTTGTGGTCAGATGAGACCAAAATGGAGCTCTTTGGCATCAACTCAACTCGCCGTGTTTGGAGGAGGAGGAATGCTGCCTATGACCCCAAGAACACCATCCCCACCGTCAAACATGGAGGTGGAAACATTATGTTTTGGGGGTGTTTTTCTGCTAAGGGGACAGGACAACTTCACCGCATCAAAGGAACGATGGACGGGGCCATGTACCGTCAAATCTTGGGTGAGAACCTCCTTCCCTCAGCCAGAGCATTGAAAATGGGTCGTGGATGGGTATTCCAGCATGACAATGACCCAAAACACACGGCCAAGGCAACAAAGGAGTGGCTCAAGAAGAAGCACATTAAGGTCCTGGAGTGGCCTAGCCAGTCTCCAGACCTTAATCCCATAGAAAATCTGTGGAGGGAGCTGAAGGTTCGAGTTGCCAAACGTCGGCCTCGAAACCTTAATGACTTGGAGAAGATCTGCAAAGAGGAGTGGGACAAAATCCCTCCTGAGATGTGTGCAAACCTGGTGGCCAACTACAAGAAACGTCTGACCTCTGTGATTTCCAACAAGGGGTTTGCCACCAAGTACTAAGTCATGTTTTGCAGAGGGGTCAAATACTTATTTCCCTCATTAAAGTGCAAATCAATTTATAACATTTTTGACATGCGTTTTTCTGGATTTTGTTGTTGTTATTCTGTCTCTCACTGTTCAAATAAACCTACCATTAAAATTATAGACTGATCATTTCTTTGTCAGTGGGCAAACGTACAAAATAAACAGGGGATCAAATATATTTTTCCCTCATTGTATAGCAACCAAATAATGAAACGCGTGTTTCTAAATGAGGAGGGAAAAATTGGAGGACCCGGGGAAAAATCCACGCGACCACGGGGGAGAACACGCAAACTCCGAATCTACAGGCACCTGGGTCGGGATCGAACCCACGACCTCCTGTAAATAAGGCGAGGTAGTTGACATCTCCCCAACGTGGCACCTACACCTGCTGCTACTGCTGGACCGCACGAGAAGCCTCACACCTCTACGGTGTCGCTCAGGTCCAGCTCGGACGCCACGTGCAGTGGGGCCTTCTGCGCGAGGTTCAGGACGTTGGGGTTCGCCCCCAGGACCAGCAGCAGCCGCACCGCCTCGGCTTGCCCGCTGCCGGCCGCCACGTGGAGCGGCGTGTCTCCCTCATCGTCCGTGACGTTCAGCACTGCACGTGGAGGGCGGGAGGGAATGCACAGGGACAGCTCCGTCTCGTTACGCACGAGATGGGCTGGTGGACTCAACCCAGTGGGGTCGCTCCTTTCACAGAGGGCGCAGGCTGTGGTGTGGATGCCAATTATACTCGTGCGCATGGCATTATGTCGATGTCTGCCAGCCACGCATTGCCGGATTATCCCAGTAGCAAAAGTAGCTACTACATATGTAGTAGCTAAGGGCCCCGCACTTTCAAGGGACTCGCGCTAAATGCTTTCAAGCAATCAATTTCGGTTCAGTGATTCTGCACTTGCTCTATTACTATAGTATTATACTGCCTTCAACTTTTATGAACGACAGTGTGTTTAAGGTTAGCGATTTGTCTTATTATCTGCCTGTGTAGCAAATGAAATAATACAATTACTTTACTGTGCGAGTTAAAAATGTCAGTTTTAATATGTACTTTTTTTTGTTACAGGCCCCGCACTAGCTTAATCCGGCACTGTAGCCATGTATGTATGTTGAACTTCTTTCGCACCGTACGTAGCCAACCGTGCTAATCGGATGGTGCGGGGGGGAAGAACAACAAATTAAACACAAGAATCGAATATCAAGGACATGGGTTTTCAATCTAGTGCCATGTGAGGGCGAGAGAGAGAGAGAGATTGTGTAGCTTTGCTGTTCCTCCTCCACTGAAGGGGCTCAGACCACGGTGGTTTCGCTCTGTGCTCGAATATGCGCAGGGATTTGTCGGCGCCACGTAGCGCTGACAAAACGAATAAAAAATATGAAGAATAAAAATATTTAACTTATAATAGAGGTGTGAACATGTGGACTATATCCGTATACTTTTGGTCTTAGTCACCTTAGGGCTTTGGGGGGGGGGAGATTGGGGTGTGAGTAATGTGGACCTGTGTTTGGAAGTGGTGAATAAGCACGTGGGCTGTAGTCAAGCACTGCAGAGGTGAGGGGTGATGGATAGTCGCATGAATGTTGCGAAACTCCCTTCTCGTCAGTGTCGAGGAGTCATTCCCTATTCTTTAGTTCTTTCAGTAAAGTCACGTAGATAGAAAATAATCAAATAAAAAATATATATGTTTAAAAATAATAATAAAAACAAAACGACGACCGCTTGCGTTGCGATCGAAACGTCGTGAGTTTTTTTAAATCGAATTAGCATTTTTTATTTAATTATTTTTAATTATTTTCTATCTACGTGACTTTACCGAAAGAACCAAAGAATATGAATTCCTGCAGTCACGAAAGTTTTAAATCTAGAGTCATTCCCTAGTTCGCCAGGTGAAGGCGGCACAGCAACCATGTTTCGTAAGTATGGGATGCAGTGTTTCCTCCTCGCTCCAGGTTCCTCCTACACGTAAACACTCAATGATTGGACGATACCATCTTCGTACGCAGAGGACTGCAGAGCGTGGGCAACTGTTTGGTAGCGCCGGCTCATCACCGCCGCTGGCTGCCTGCTTGTCTGTTCTTCCTCCTCGCACCTGTGAGTCATCCTTAATCTCACTCTCTCTCTACGACAGTGTTCTGTTCTTCACTAGATTTAAGAAGGGGGGGGGCACTTTCACCGATAAGACAGTGCGAGGGCCGCCACACCATTGGGTTTGACAGCACGATGGGGGGGGGGGGGGGGGTGTATTCCGATTTGTGTTATTTTTCGGGGAGCCACCTAGGGGCCGCTAGTGACCCGCGAACGCCGCTCGACAAGATCGAGCGAATCCCGGCGCGTCCTCTGGCGCGTGTTACACGAATCGAAATAATCATCAATGACTAATTATTTGTACGATTTTTCGCGAGTGTTTATGGCCCCCCGGGGGCAGCGGTGTCGTAGCGCGAATGCCTTCGATGCCCTCTCGCTTGACGATGAACTCGATCACGTCTGCGTGGCCTTGCGCGGCTGCCCGGTGCAGAGCCGTGCGCCCTTTGTGATCGCGGCGGCTCAGCACGTCCGCTTGGGCGCTCAGCAGCTCCTGCAGTCCCTTCACGTCGTTGTGCTCCACCAACTGCAAAGGCCACAGACACAGACCACCCCACACCCAGCCAGCCAGCCAGCCCCCCCGGTGTTGGGGCGAGTGCCTGTTAGGGAGTAGCACCGCATGAAGGCTTGACACGGCACACGAGCGGGTGGGTGGCCAGCACCACGTCCGACTGCCTTTGTCTGCCGAGTGGCGAGATTTACACACTGCACCAGTCACTCGTTTGAGGCCGAGTCGACCTAGGGGAGGCCCAAGACCGGTTCGAATAATCGTCACTGGCGGTGACCGTGAGCGGGAATCGAACCCGGGTAGTCCGGGTTTGTCGCTCAGCGCGCCAAATACTGCACAACCGCTTTCACAATTGCAAAAGACAAAGGTCGCCTATGAAAGCCAAAACGGCACACGAGGGAGTGGGCGGGTGGCCAACACCACACCCGACCGCCTTTGTCTCCCCAGTGGCGATATATACACACCGCACCAGGTACTCATTTGAGGCCGAGTCGACTTAAGGGAGGCCCAGGACCGGTTAAAATAATCGCCACTGGTGGTGGTCGTGAGCGGGAATCGAACTCGGATGGCCGGTTTCGTAGCGCAGCGTGCTAACCATTGTGCCACCGCTCCCCCACACGCACAATGCACGTATGTATACACCATGTACATGCCTCCTTGCACACAGGCGCATGTGTTCATACATATACACGTATGCACTCTTGGTCACACCCACATGCACACGCACGTACATGCACATTTGAGCACATACGCATGCTGTCATACACACGTGTGAACGGTCACACACGAACACGTGCACGTGCATTTCCACGCACATGCACACGTAAGTACATGCATGCATGCTACCATACGCGAATGCAGTAATTATCGTGTTGGTTGTGGGGGGTAGTGGGCAAGGCATTTCGGTAAAGAAAAAGGAGATAGTATCACTGACACATGGTATGACTTGCATATGGTACAAATTACAGATGGGATAACTTACAGACGGTACGAATTACAGATAGTACATTTTAAATGGACGATAATGCACGATGCAGTCTATAATGCATTTAAAAATGAACGAGAATGACGTGTGTTGTATATTTTTCCGTGAAAGCACAAAACCCGTTTTCAAAGCACTTTTAAACACTGCGTATAACATCAACAAACGCCTATGCATGGCGCTGAGAGCAGAGCTTGAATTAAACAGAATTATCTAATCAAGATAAAATTATCATTATCTACGGCAACAGTAGAACCATCATCATCAGCATCAGGAAGAGGCAGTAGCATCAGAATCGGCACCGTCTGAAGTAGCCAATCAGCATCGTCTTCAGCAATGCAAGAGAAGTTTGCCACCGAATTATCTTCACCGTCACGGCCACTGCCATCATCATGGTAACAGTTGATGCACTGATCATCATACCATTCCAATGAGCTAAGATTCACAATAATTCGACCGAACAATATTTAATCTATTTTTATTTTTTTTACAATGAAATCCTGTATTTATCAAAGGTGTTTTAATTGCCGTGAGTGAGTTCGCGCATAAGTTTAAACAGAAAGAGAAACACACCCTTTTCCCCCAAGACATCAGGCTAGATATCAAAAAGGGAAACAGAAGATTAAAAAAACTGAAATGAAATCTCCTCTGCATTCGTGAATAAGCATTGGAAAGCAAGCACGTTAATCCGCGGCAGAGATAACACATCTATTTAATGGTGCACAAAATAGTCTCACTTGCCAACACATGTCTTATCCGTAAATAAACTCACCTTGTCTGGCATAACGGCGTTGTGGTTCGTGATGCAACGAAATCTCAACGGCATGCTGCGGTCGTCCGGATTTTTTAAATTATTATCACCAAATGCTGTCCGTTGGCCGTGTGTGTGTGTGTGACAGAATTATATATATGTCCTTTTTAGAGCCGATTTTATTATTTTCAAATGCATCGAAGGGTCGTGTTACTTTGACAGGTGGTCTCCACAGATATCCAAAAGCCAAACAGAGTGCGTGCAAACATCCAAGCCACGGAGAGGGGGTTGCGGATGGACATTCAATAGCGACCTCTGGCTGATGGGGGAGACCATTTCCTGTTGTCTTAATAGGAACACAACGCACACTAACCCACTCTTCATAATAAAGGTGTTTTTAGGTTAGATCGCGTTATTTATAATGTGTCGCAACCATCCACCACCCGACATGGCCAATCAGTAAAAAAAATGTGTCATGTTGACAAAAGACAAATAGTTCACTACTTTAGCCCACCAGTGTGTTGAAGAGTGAATCCACAACATTCACAATTTGAGTACGACGTTTCGCTGGAAATTACATCCAGCATTTTCGGGCGATTTGACAAAATAGTGAAGCCATCCACCTGCTTCCGGTCTTAAATAGTGCAGGACGTCATTATTGTTGAACCCCATCGGGGTTCGAGATCAGAGGCGGAGGTGTGGGTGTATGCAATTATGTAATATAGCAGGAATCAGCCACTTAGCATGTGACTCACCTGTAAGGAATTGCAGTATGTGTTAAACTAACCCACTCTTGTGAGTGATAATCAGGGTGCTGCTGTTGTTTCAACTTTTATTTGATTTTACCCGGTAAGTCCGACTGAGCTATCTAGCTCTTTATCAGAAGCGAGCTGGCTATCACAAACGATACTTTAACGCTAAGTGGCTCACGGTGTGGAAATTGATAGCGGCGAAATACTCTTAACGCGCGTTTATAAACGTGGAGGGGAAAAAAAACGTAGGTCTCCTGGAAAAAAAACGAATCCCAGCGACCACGGGGAGAACATGCAAACTCCAAATATACAGGCGTCGGGGTCGAGGTTGAACCCACGACCTCCTGCATACCAGGCGAGGCAGTTAACATCTCGCAAGGAGACCGCCTCCTTGTGGTTCATTCGTGCTGGAGCTGCAACAATTTCATACTCAGGCCTTCCGAAGTATGACATTGCGATCAATTTTCCAGCTTGTGGGTGAGATCGGTTGGTACAATGTCACCTCCGACGAGCGCGGTTTGCCTACGTACGGCGCCATAGAAGTTCAACAAACACAAACAGTCGAGTACTTTCATATCCATCCGGGCGACACACGCGAAGGAGCGGCGTGGCGGGGTGAGGGCGGCGTACAGCGCGCTGATGGCGCAAAATCAGCACCTTGAAGAGCTGTGCTGGACTCTGGGACATGTAGCACACGGGGCCGTCGATGGCGCTCTCCTCGTCCACCGAGTCCGAGTTTCCCCTGCCCAGGCGCGACCACAGCTTGAGCAGCATGCGAGGGCTGTCCTGGCCGGGCGACAGCGAGCCGCCAACGTCGCCGGCTCCCTTCGAGGCGCCCAGCGCCCTCTTGGACGCGTGCTCCCAGCTGCGAGCGATGGAGGCGCAAGGCGCGGAGCGTCGCGGGTCAAAGAGGGCCGCGGTGGCGGTGGACGATCGTGGTGGGCTCGAATCGGTCCGTGCCGAGGTGTTAAACGCGTGACACCCCTCCTCCTCCTCCTCCCTCGTCCCCCCCCCAATGGAGCCTCCCGCACACGTGCGATTTAACGCTCGTTAAGGGGAATGGACAAACATCTCAAGGCCAGCCTGCGGCTTACAATATTCGTTTCTGCCACCTCCCCGCAATACATATTTGCCTTTGTTGTTAAGTGATTGTCATCGGTGATGTGTGCTCTTTGGCAGCGGGCAAAATCCACGAAAGCCTTAAGCAAAAGCATCGGATATGTGCGCAGACAACGCTCGTCGTGTTACTGTGTGCACAGCACTCGCTGCAGGCGGGCGGGGGGGGGGGGGTCTTTATTTAATTGTGAGAATGACGACGATGTCAATTCGCTTCGTCCACGACTGTTAAACGCATCTGGGAGGACGTTGACAAAGGTGGAGATGGAGCGGTGGAGTAAGTTCGTGTGCAGGTGCTGGGTGGATTAAGAACATCGCAACATCGTGGCGACGTCTCGGCCAGGCTTCCGTCCAGCAGTGGACTGACCATGACCACCAAGTTATGATTACGAATGGGCCATTGTTCTATTTGAGTCGCGGGCATTTCTGCTGCCCGTGTCGACGATGTTTTGGGGGGCACGATGGCGCTCTTCTCGTCGAGCACGTGGCATGTTTCAGCTACAGCGAGGGCGATGGTCGTCATGCA